GGTGAGTGACTGAGAAGGGAGGAAATCATTGGGGGTGGCTGTGAAAACAGGGAGGGACAGAAGGCAGAGAAGCTGGACTGGGCTGGGCTGGGCTGGGCTGGGCTGGGTTTGGGCTGGGCTGTGGCTAGGCTGGGCTGGGGGTGGGCTGGGCTTGGGCTGGACTGGACTGGGCTGAGTTTGGCTGGGCTTGGGCTGGGCTGGGTTTGGGCTGGGCTATGGCTAGGCTGGGCTGGGGGTGGGCTGGGCTTGGGCTGGGCTGAGGTGGGCTGAGCTGGGCTTGGGTTGGGTTTGGGCTGGGCTGGGCTGAGTGGGGCTTGGACTGGGCTGGGCTGGACTGGGCTGGGTTTGGCTGGGCTTGGGCTGGGCTGGGCTTGGGCTGGGCTGGGTTTGGGCTGGGCTGGGCTGGGCTTGGCTGGGCTGGGCTGAGCTAGGTTTGGGCTGGGCTTGGCTGGGCTTGGGCTGGGCTGGGCTGGGCTGGGGTGGGCTGAGCTGGGTTTGGGCTGGGCTGGGGTGGGCTGGGCTTGGGCTGGGCTGAGCTGGGCTGAGCTGGGCTTGGGCTGGGTTTGGGCTGGGCTGGGCTGAGTGGGGCTTGGACTGGGCTGGGCTGGACTGGGCTGGGTTTGGCTGGGCTTGGGCTGGGCTGGGTTTGGGCTGGGCTAGGCTTGGCTGGGCTGGGCTGAGCTGGGTTTGGGCTGGGCTTGGGCTGGACTGGACTGGGCTGGACTGGGCTGGGCCTGGCTGGGCTTGGGCTGGGCTTGGGCTGGGCTGGGCTGGGCTGGGCTAGGTTTGGGCTGGGCTGGGCTGAGCTGAGCTGGGTTTGGGCTGGGCTGGGTTGGGCGGGGCTGGGTTTGGGCTGGGCTGGGCTGGCCTGGCCTGGCCTGGTCTGGGTTTGGGTTTGGGCTTGGGCTGGGCTTGGCTGGGCTGGGCTGAGCTAGGTTTGGGCTGGGCTTGGCTGGGCTTGGGCTGGGCTGGGCTGGGCTGGGGTGGGCTGAGCTGGGTTTGGGCTGGGCTGGGGTGGGCTGGGCTTGGGCTGGGCTGAGCTGGGCTGAGCTGGGCTTGGGCTGGGTTTGGGCTGGGCTGGGCTGAGTGGGGCTTGGACTGGGCTGGGCTGGACTGGGCTGGGTTTGGCTGGGCTTGGGCTGGGCTGGGTTTGGGCTGGGCTAGGCTTGGCTGGGCTGGGCTGAGCTGGGTTTGGGCTGGGCTTGGGCTGGACTGGACTGGGCTGGACTGGGCTGGGCCTGGCTGGGCTTGGGCTGGGCTTGGGCTGGGCTGGGCTGGGCTGGGCTAGGTTTGGGCTGGGCTGGGCTGAGCTGAGCTGGGTTTGGGCTGGGCTGGGTTGGGCGGGGCTGGGTTTGGGCTGGGCTGGGCTGGCCTGGCCTGGCCTGGTCTGGGTTTGGGTTTGGGCTTGGGCTGTGCTGGGTTTGAGCTGGGCTGGGCTGGCTTGGACTGGACTGGGCTGGGCTGGGCTGGGCTGGGCTGGGCTGGGTTGGTCTGTGCTGGGCTGGCTTGGACTGGACTGGGCTGGGCTGGGCTGGGCTGGGCTGGGTTGGTCTGTGCTGGGCTGGCTTGGACTGGACTGGACTTGGCTGGACTGGGCTGGACTGGATGGACTAGACTGGGTCAGACCTCCCATCTCCAAAGCAGCCTTTCCCCAGATTCCTCAGTCTCCAGAGGTTCCAGGGCACTTGGAAATGATTGTGTTGTTTGAGGAAAGGGAAGACAGGGCCTCCACTTAGAGAAGGAAGGAGTCTGGGTCACACCTGACCGGCTCTAAGGAAGGGGAAGAAGACTGATGGGAAAAGAGTCAGGGGGGTGGCAAATGGGAAAACTGCCTGTCCAGAGCCCCAAAGTCCCCACAGCTTGGGGCAGGTAGGGAGCCTGCCTTGTATGCAGCCAATCCGGGTTCGATCCCTAGTACCATATATGTTCTCTGAACACAGAGCCAGGACTGAACCCTGAGCACCACTGGGTGTGGCCCAAGATGCATAAATGACTAAAGTCCCCATAGCTGTCCAGCAGCAGCTGACAGTCAGCAGGAGCCTTCCCAAAGTGGAGAGAGGAAGCTAACTTAGAACTCTGCCCTGCATCCTAATCCCCGAAGACCCTTGGGGAGTCAGCACCACTGGCGTGGCACCGCACGAACACAGTTCCCATTCCCCTCCCCTCTGCCCATCAGCTCTGTGAGGATTAAAGGAGGTCACACAGAGAAAGTGCTTAGCCCATGCCTGTCACATTAATTGTTCAATTCTTTCCTTTTTTTCTGTTCCAACCTCATCTTGTTCAGATACTGTTCAGACCTCGATGGTCTTGTCTCACTGTCTCGCTTCTGTACCTTCAAGGCCTTGCACAGGGGCCATGCAAGCGCCTGCTGACGGAGTGAATGGCAGAGTATAGGGGTGATATGATCAGGAACTTGCCAATGAGAGCAGCTAGCTGGGTTCCCCCATCTCACCAGTCCTGCACCAGGGTCCAGCACAGAGAAGGAACAAAAGGACCGTTTATGAACAAAATGGCCAAAACCTCACTGGGGGTGGGCGGTGGGCAGCTAGAGTATGGCAAGTAATGTTCTTCTCTTGTGGCCAACCCCCGGTTCAATCCCTGACATCCCCTCTGGTCCCCTGAACCCTGCCAGGAGTAAGCCCTGAGCACTGCTGGGTGTGCCCCCCACCCCCCACGCAAAAAAAAAAAAAACGCCCTTGAATAAAATGGAACGCAGAGGGACCGAAGAGATAGTACTGCACATGATTAAGTCAGGTTCAATCCCTAGCATCCCATAAGGTCCCCAGAGCCCTGCCAGGAGTGATCCCTGAGCACAGAACCGGGAGTAACCCCTGAGTATCACTGGGCATGGGCCAAAAATCAAAACAAAGAAAATAGAAAGCATGGTTGTTCCCTTGGTCCCTGGATGGGCAGATTGCTCAGTTTCCCAAACCCCATGGAGGCAGGGTTGTATAGGTGTGGAGAGGCCTGTGTGTGTGTGTGTGTGTGTGAGTGCAGGTGCCGGAACAACTCCCCCCCAGGGCCGCGTGAGAGCCAGGTCTCTGTGGTTTTGTCTCTGGGGGTCTGTGCTTCTATGTGCATACTTGAGCCTCCATCCAGGGCCACTAGTAGAGAGGGAGCTGGACATGTGTGCACCAGCCTTTCTACCAGCTTTCTCCACCTGGGCAGGCCTGACCTTTAGGGCTGGATAATTCTTGGTGGTGAGACACTGCCCAGTATCCTGCAGAGGAGGTAAGTCCTCTTTGCTCTCACATGAGCATTTTTGTTTGAGGCCTCGGCTGGCAGTTGTCAGAGTGCACTCCTGGCTCAGTACTCGGAGGGCTGGGGGGCTCAAAGAACCATATGAGGTGCCAGGGATCAAACTTGGATTAGCTGGGTGCAAGGAAAGCGCCCTACCCGGTGTCCTATAGCTCCAGGTGGGGCCCTTTTGGCCTTCAAGGCACTAGTGGCCATTTTTTATTGTTCTGACCGGCTGTGGGAAGTCTGCTACAGAACCCGATGCCAAGAGGACATTCACTGCTCTGCCTGCTAAGAGCAGGCAGGGGACAGGGACTGGAGGCTGGTGATGGGCAGAGTGATAGAATGATACAACTAGGAACTCGCCAGTGAGAGCGGCTAGCTGGGTTCCCCCGTCTCACCACTGCTAGATCAGGGCTCAGCATAGAGCAGGGACACAAGGACCATTTATGAACAAAGTGGGGGAAAAATGGAAAAACAACAAAACCCCAGGGAGGGCGGGGGGATAGGGAGGTTAAAGCATAGCGAGTAAGGCACTTGCCTTGCGTGTGGCCAACCCAGCTTCCATCCCTGGCCCTCCACCTGGCCCACTAAAACCCGCCAGGAGGGAACCCTGAGCCCAGAGCCAGGAGTAAGCAAGGCCTGAGCACCGCTGGGCATGGCCCAAGAGCTAGAGCTGCAGATATGGGCCGCTGCCTAGCCTCACATATGGGCCTGAACACCTAGGGTCCCTCTCGCCCACGTCAGTGAGTCCCGCGTCAGTGAGTCCTCGCTGCCCTGTGAATCCTGCTGTGGGGGTGTCTCTCTGTGTCTGTTGTGCTGCGTGGCCAGAGAGGGGGCCCCACCTGTCTCACTTGTATGCCTGGCTATTCGGGGCGACCCTCTTTGAAGGCCTGTGTTCACTGTATCAACCAGCACCTCAGTATGCATGCGCGTGAGAGGACACTTACGTGAATGCGTGAGCACAGATGTGGTGGGCATGGTGGGGGGGCGACAGGGAGGGAGGGAGGGAGGGAGGGACAGGAACAGGGATATTAATGTTTCTGAAGTGGAGCTGATTTGATACGTCCTGTTCCATTGTCAGCATCTGTTTAGCGGGGATTTGTAATACTTTGTGGCTCTGGATCACTCATGCTTAGCGCAGGATGTGGCCTTGCATACCAATTTTGTTATTAAACACAGTCCTTGCCTCCCCCACAGCCCATCCATCACCTCCAGCCCCCACTCCCGCCTCCCCCGAGCCGCCCACCATATTTCAGGGCCCAGCTCCCGCCCGCCTGCCGCGCCCGATGCCGGAGGGCCTGGGGCTGACAAATTGAATCAGGGGGAGATCATTCCTGGCCTAACGCAGTTTGCAGCGTGTTGGAGGGAGAATTGACAAGCGCCATGTCAGCTCCATCACCCCAATCCCACGGGAGCTAAGAGCAGGCAGGGGACAGGGCTGTAGGCAGGGGGTGGGGCGTGGGGGATCCAGGACAAGCAAAATCCTTGGGGCTTGTGCCAGGAGGCAGGTCAAGCTCCTTTCCCCAGCGCCATGGTATGGGGGTGGGGGGCGAGCGGGGGAGACACCCTGCCTAGTGTCCGCATCTCCCCGACTCTCCCCAGGGGGCCAGCTCTGGCCTTTGACCCCGACAGCCTCTGGGTTGACTGAACGGGGCTGGGCTGGGCAGGGATTCCAATCTCCTTAGGGTCTTCCTGTCCTTCTACCCTTGCACAATCTGGGCAAAGTGTAATGGTCACCCTGTTTTCTTCTTTCTTGGCAGCAAAAATCCCCTTCTGAAGGATGCCATGGCTCCCGGCACACCCAAGGTAAGTGGACAATCGTGTCTCCTGCTTCTGTTCCCTAACCTTGGACCACAGAGAACTGGTTCCTCTGGAGGAAAAGGGGCCTTTCCTGAATCTCCAACTCTCTTCAGACCTGTGTGCTTGAGCATGTGTGGCGTGTGTGTGTGTGTGTGTGTGTGTGTGTGCCTGTCCATGTGTGCTTTGAGTGGGAGCCGAGGGTAGAGGATTCAGAGTCCAGAACAGCATGGTGGGCAGGGAGGGGGCCCCAGACTCATGCCAGGGACATTCAGTCAAAGGAGGAAGGTGAACACAGCAGGCGAAGCATAGAAATGCCGCTCCCACATCTGGGGCTCCCACATGGCCCTGGGGCTCCCACATGGCCCTGGCCAGGCTTTGTCCTGAGGGCGACTGGGACAGTGCTGAGCTCCTCTGGCCGACCACCTACCCCACTTGAGCAGCCTCCGGGATCTGGGAGCATCAGAAGGACACGGGAGAGTGAGGGGCAAGGGGCTCTCTCCACACTGGGCCCGAGTGCCCCTGCCCAGGGACGCCTTTGGTGCCAACAGCCCCCCTCCCAGAGGTGATGCAGAGGCAGAGGGCACTGCTTCCCCAGACATGATGGTTTTGAGCAGTGGGTCCTGCTGGAAGGACGAAACCCTCCCTCCTCCTCTCTCGTAAGTTCCCCCCAGCACTCCTGAAGGCAGGAGCCCCTTGCCCTTCTTCCAAGGATGGATGACATCAGGGAGGAGAGTGAGTGGACAGACAAAAGCAAAGCCAGGAGGGGAGTCGGGGGTCAGGGTAGAGGAGTTGGGGCAGGAGCCTACAGAGCCCAGTATCCCTAGTTCTAAGGCTACAGCGCTCCCAGACTTAACAGGAAGCTCAGCGATGAGACCCTCCAGGCCGGAAGAGGGGCCCACAACAGCTCCGGTGACCCCCATGGAGGCAGTTTGGAGAAAAGGAGCCACAGGTCTCACCTCCTCCATGGGGCTGACCCTACACCCTTCAAGCCTGCTGGGCACTGGGGGCCCCTCTGTCAGCATTAATGAATGGGACAGACCCCCGCCAAGAAAGCAAAGCTCCACTATCCCAAAACCAGAGGGGTGGGGGTCTGCAAGCCGCTAAGCATTTAGAAGCGAGGAACCCTCCCCCAGTCTGCTGTGGTTCCTAACTGCCGTTGAGTCCTGCCTGAGGCTCCAGGCCGACCACCACCACTGACCCCTGAGCTGGCAAGCAGGCCCGGGAGGGCACCTCAGAGAAGCCCGCGTGCTAGGGACAGACACAGAGGTCATCCGTGTCCAGCCCTCACAGTGACCCGCACATCCAGAGCAGAGGGCTGCCCTGTCCCATGCAGGCTGGTGATGCCAGCTCACCCACAAAGAGCCCCATTTCGGGGCTTTCCCTCTGCCTGAGCCAGGCCGTAGAGGAGCCGGTCATGGGGCAGAGAGGCACAAGGTAGAAGGTTCAAGCAAGAGATGGGAAGGCCGGGGAAGAAGAGGGAGGGGGGAGGCGGAGAGGGCGATGGGGCCTTAGACAAGATTGATGGCCTCGTTGCCATTAAGAAAAAAATTAGCCGGTGGCGGCTATCATATTAAAGGGTGAAGAAGCCGTGAATTATTTTCTTAAAGATCTTATCGCTTACAATGATAATTTTACCTTCCAAAAGGCCACTTTTAATGAGGCGAAGAGCCAGGCAAAAAGTCATGATTTAATGCCGGGATTTTTTTTTTTTCCCAAACACATTTTACTGCTTTTTGGTCCATGTTTAAAAAGCGCCAGTGACCTTTTTTCATTCCACTTGCCCCAGGTGTAATGCTGAGGCCTCTCAGGGCTTCCAACCTAGAGAGAACGAGAGCGACAGCAAGTAAGAGAGCAGGAGGGAATAAGAGCGAGAAAGAACGAGACGAGACTGAGAGGAAATAAGGGTGGGAGAAAGGGAAGGGTGGTGGGGAGGGGACACCTTCTTGGGGGAGAGACGGTTTCCCCTCCTCAGCACCCCCCACGGAATATGAGGAGCCCCCCTGCTTGAAAGCCCACATCTTTTCCAAGCTGGGGGCCAGGTCACCTACAAGGCCCTACCCTGGGCCTAGAGAAGTCAAGAAGCGGCCCCAAGTTGCAGGACGCCCACCAGACGCCTCCCAGCCGCTATCCGCCCACGGTCCCAGGCCACCCCTCCTTTCCTGGCCCTTGCCTGAGGATGTGCGTTGTGGCCACGCATGCGGGTCACATCCTGAGGCTCGGTCGGAGATGAAGGATAAATGGGCGCTCCATCTTTCCCAAATTGCTTTCTTTGGGCTGTCACTGGCGATTTGGCATGGCTTTCTCGGTGGGGGAGACCTCCGAGGAATTGTCTGCTTCCACCCGCTTGTTCAGAGCTGCGCGGGCTGCTGAAGCGTGTGTGTGTGTGTGTGTGTGTGTGTGTGTGTGTGTGTGTGTTGGGGGGTCGGGTGGGACCCCTTCAAGGCTTCCTGGCCCCCAGCTTGCTGCTTCACAGGCCTTGGCAAGAAGCAGCAAAGCAGGCTGAAGGTGCCATGTGGTGTTTAGCATCGCGGCGCTCACACCCAATTTTGAGCGGAAGCTTTATTAATCTAAACTGCCGGCGTATGTAGAAGAGGCCGTGCAGACTGACATGGGGGGGATTAGTTTTGCAGGGGTTCCTGCTAGGGTCATCGCCGCAGCGCAGGGATAAATGGACCCAGCGCACATCCGAGCTGCACGAGGAAACTCATACATATGATTTCATTTACTGTCTCCAGAGTGGGGCTGCTATCAGCCTATATTAGGGGCAGGCAGGGTGGCCGGTATGTGGCTTTACCCCCAACCCTTTGGGGAGCCGGGGGGGGCGGGTCCCGCTCTAAAGGAGAATGAAACGCAGAGAGTCTCAGCCTCTGAGTAAGGTCTGGGAGTCCTGCCCCTCTGAGGTCTGGAACCTCTCCCTGTCCCTTGATTCCAGCCTCTCCTGCACCCAACCTCCCCTTCCGGGTCTTGACCACACAGCTTTAGACCCAGTGGGCCGGTCTCCCCACACACACACTCTAGCACACTGGCTGGGCCTTCTTCAGCCTGAGGCCATGCGCCCTCTGTCTTCTTTCAGTCCCTCCTGTTGTCTGCCTCCATCAAGAGGGAAGGAGAGTCCCCCACGGCGTCCCCGCACTCATCAGTCACCGATGACCTGCACCACTCGGACAGATACCAGGTGAGGAGGCCGAGGAGCCGACTCGGGGGGGGGGGGGGCTGCACCTGCTCTGAGGCGTGGCAGATGCTAACCTGAGTTTGGGTCCCCTAGGGTCTGGTGCCTATACCTTCTACCCCAAGGCACAGGGAATGGGCCTTCACGAGACGGACTGGAGGAAGTGATGCCTAGGTCCCCTGGGATCCAACAGGCTTGGAGCCTCTGGGGATGGTTCCTTCTGGGGGCAGGGGGCTACCACAGGGCTTGGTATCATGAGGCACCCAGAGAGAGATGCCAGACCCCAAGACCAGAAGAGGAAAGAGCCATCCCATCCCACCAAGCCCCCTGCCTGGGGCCCTGGGCAAAGAGCAGCCCACAGAGTGTCACCCCCCCAGGGAGTGATGACTCTGTGGTGGAAGGAGAAAGTCCCCCCACAAGCTTTAGTCTGGGGAGAGACTCATGTCCCGAGGCCCAGCCAAATGGAAGAACAGAAGCAAGCCCACCCAGGAACCTCCATTCCAGCGGGGACAGACAAGGCTTCTCAGGACCCCACTGTGGGCAGGGAAGCCCAGCCCTGATGTCTGGGGGAGAAGCAGCAACCTGGCCAGCAGGAGTGGAGCCTGGCAGCCCGGAGCACAGCTTAGAGAGGGCAGTGCCGACTGCGGACCGGGCACCAGCCTCCACTGGCACTTCCTTTGCTGGAGGGCCCTTCCAGGGGACTCAAACAGCACAGCCCTAAGTGCTGGCCCTGGGCAGGGATCCTGGCTCCCAGGAACCCAGCCCCAGCCATAGGTGACAGGAATGGCATCCAGGCAACCCTGACGTGGGTGGTGAATCTGCCCGATTCTGGGGGATTCTGGTTTGAACAGGAAACAGGCTCCGTCCACTCCAAGGTGCACACAGAGTCCCACCTTCAGAGGCTTGTCCTACATCCCTCGTAGCTCTAGGCTCGCTCTGTGCAGCTAGGAAGAGGGACCGTTATACATAGGCCTGGCTTGCTGGAATTGGCATCAAGGCTCTGCATGTCCGTTGCTACTCCTAATCCCCTAGCCATGCTTACCATATCCATCTAACTACATCTTTTTATAAAAAAAAAAATTATATTCACTTACAGGTTTGCCGTGTGGGCGAGATACTCTCAGTAGCTTGCCAGGCTCTCTGAGAGACATACCCGTGACATATTCGATATGCCAAACACAGTAACAAGTCTCACAATGTTACTGGGCCCTCCTCTTGAGCAAATTGATGAACAACGGGAGGACAGTGCTACAGTGCTACTTAAAGGTTTAGGGGGCACGCTTGACTCTTCTCAGGGCTTACTCCTGCCTCTGTGCTCAAGGATCACTCCTCAAAGGGCTTAGGAGACCATACTGGATGCCAGGGATTGAGCCTGTCAGCTGCCACGTGGAAGGCAAATGCCTTTTCCACTGTCCTATCTCTTTGGCCTGTCGGGCCATGCTTCACTTGCCTTGTATTTTCATGCCCCTCTTTTAAAATGGGATTATTTCAGCCCACCATCCCTTTTCTATATGTCCGACAACACTCTACCCAAATACCATTCCCTCCAGAAAGCCTTTCTGGATTAGCTCTTTCTTCTCATGACTCACCTGTCCCATTATCACCATGAAATGAACTGCAAAATCTACAGACATACATATCAAACCACCCCAAGACTCAGTGACTAAGACCATTTATTCTCTGCCATGATGCTGTTAGTGATCTGTGCTTGTCCTTGGTCATACAGCTCCTTCAGCTAGCGGGCTAGTTGGGAAAGAAAGTCCAAAATGGTCTCACCACGTGTCTGGGTCATCCTCCAGCGAGTTATATTCGCTTCCTGATTAGTCTCAGGGCAGTGTGTTCCTACCAAGAGGGTAAAGGCCAAAGATGCAAGGTCTCATGAGCCGAGATTCTAGAACACATGCAATGTAAGGCAAGCAGGTCACAGAGCGGACCTATAATCAGGGAGAGAAGAAATACTGTTCTTGAGGTACCCTGCAAGAGTCATGCACAATGGGCCTGCCACATCCACCCGACCCGGAGTTCCTCCAGGGAACAGGCTTCATCTTCTCCTTCTTTACACCCTTCCTTTACTCAAATAGTGACCCAGCACTCACACTAGTGCTGCCCAGTATCCTTGCCTTCAAGGTGTTAAAATTTGCGAGTCAATCATCAATTGGCCCGGCAGCTATGCTAGGAAAAAGGTATGTTCAGAGAGGGGTAGAAATAGGTTCCAGAAAAGTATAAAGGAAGGAAGGAAGGAAGGGGATCAGCGGGTATCGATTCAGCAGGGTTTCAGGTGAGTAGGAGTCCACGCTAGAGAGCAAGGCAGAAAGGGCATTTCGGTATTTAGGTCCAAGGTAATACCACAGTACACGAGTCATGGGTCGTGGTGTATGAAAGAAGGATGCATTTGGGGACCGGTGAGCAGCTATTTTGTCAAAATGTGGAAGGCAAGGTAAATGGTAGGAGGTCACAGTCACTTAGAGATTAGCTGGGAACCCATCCCCTGACCTCTACTCAAATGCCAGAGGATATTGCTTGGCAACACTGGATTTTGGGAGTCTGTTGGTTTTCCATGACAGAAATGGGCCTTTGAAAGCGACTGGTATTGGTTACTGGTTGGAATTTCCAGTCAGTCACCTTACCCTCTTAACCATTCTATCACTTTGCCCTCATAAAACTATGCAAGGTCGCATCCATTGACCCCCGACCTCTTGCAAAGGAAGCAGGCTAGAAGAGACTTGGCCTTTCTGAGAACACAGACTATGAGCAAGACATGCAGGGTTCGAACTTGCGTGCTTGGCTCCAACTTCTAGATGCTTCACCAGTCCTTCCCAGGGCTCAGGGGTTTGCTCCATAAACATCCTCCTCTCCTTCACACTGAGAGGTCCTGCATGCTAGCCCCTCTGCTGGGTGACTGGACTGAGACAGCCCCTCAGGAAAGGATGGGGCTCTGTAAAGAAACAAATGTGCACGGTCAGAGGGCAGTCAAAGGACTGTGAAAACTGCGAGGAAGTCAACTAAGCAACCCAGAGTGCTCAGGTTCTAATAGCAGTTAACCAGAAGACATGGGCTCCTGGAAGATGAAGTATCCCAGAGCCCCAAGCCAGAGCTCCGCATGCTCAGAGGGCTGTGGGGAGCTCTGCCGAGCGAGCGAGCAGAGTGTGGGAAGGCACAGGGGGAAGGAAGCAAGGGAAGAGGGGCGCGGAGTGGAGCAGAGGGCGCTTCAGAGAAAGTCTCCGCCATGCAACTCAGATCTCCCAGGCAAAGAACCCTTGAAGAACTGACAGAAGCAGGGTCAGAACATTAGCAGAGCGGATACACAGAAGCCGGGTCAGAGCACTAGCACAGTGGATAAGACATCTGCCTTGCATGCAGCCAACCCTGGTTCAATCCCGGGCGTCCGTTTATGGTCCCCAGAACATGGCCAGGAGTGATTCCTGAGTGCAGAGTCAGGAGTAACCCTTGAGCACTGCCAGCTGTGGCCCCCTCCAAAAAATAAAAATAAAAAATAAAAACCAAACCAAAACACGTGCAGAAGGAGGGAGAGGGAGCAAAAAGGTCAATTTTTTACAATACAATACAAAGAATACGGACAAGGAGTAACAAAAGGGAGAAAAAACAGACGCCCAGGGGGACAGCTGCAAATTTAGACAGTCTCTGAACGGGCACCACTCATCCAAGAGTAACAACAGCTGAAGAAACTCAGGAACCCCTTGCCTACCAAGCCCGGTGCACCTGGCTCCGAATCCCTCCCCCTCCCCCATCCCAAAGTTGTGTGTCCACCAATAAAAACGAGGGGTGGGGGGCAGAGAGTGCAAGGGGCTGGGCGCAGGCGACACTGAGCGGCCCTGAGATCCCCAGACCAGTGGATCCCAGTGGATCTCAGTGCGGCTGGTACCTAGGGTGGGGCAGCTCCGAGGCCCACGGGGCCCAGGGCCGAGTACCCGGAGTGTCCCCACCATACCAGGGCAGCCCCCTCCCCCCGCCACTAGGTTTCCCGTGCGAGCGATCGGGAACGAGGGTAGGGGTGGATCCACTCTTCCGGGCTAGGCCTGGACGAGAGAGAGAGAGAGAGAGAGAGAGAGAGAGAGGTGGCGATGTCAGGCTGAAAGCTGGGCGTCCCCGGGGGCCTACAGGGCGGGGGTCCACAGTGTGGGGGGCCAGGACCGGGCCCAGGGTCTCCAGCATGCACAGCTGCGGCGCGGGGAGCGTCCCCGTGAGTCCGGGGGGCGGGTGTGGGCTGGGCCGGGCCGGGCCAGGCCAGCAGCAGCAGCAGCAGCAGCAGCAGCGGCGGCGCGGTGGAGACTTGGGCAGCACCGCGGCGATGGACACCGGGCAGGGCGCGCTGCCCCCTGGGACCCTGCGGCAGGGGCGGCCCCGAGGGACCCGGCCGGGCCGGGCCGGGCCGGGCCGGGCAGCGGGAAGACCAGGCGGGCCGGGACCCGGGAGCTCCTTTCTGCCCCCCACCCCGCGCCCAGCCCCGCCAGCAGTTGGCGGGTCCCAGTCCGCCCGCCCGGCCGCCCGCCCCCCGCACCCTCCCACCCCGCCCACCCCCGCGGTGAACTTTCACCCCCGGCGCGCGCCGGCAGCGGGTCACGTGACCAGGGCCAACATGGCCGCCGCCGCCGCCACCGGGAGCTGAGCGCCGCCGCCGCCGGGCAGCCGGGAGGAATCCGCCCGCATCGCTGCCCTCGCCGGCCGGGGGGCCGCGGGGCCCCGAGTGGCGGGGGCCGGGGCCGGGGCGGCAGCGCGCGGCGGCCCGGGGGTCGCGTCCGAGCAGCCCCCGGCGGCTATGCCGAGGGCCCGGAGCGGCCGGCGGAGGGAGGAAGTAGGTTTGTTTACGGGCCGCTCGCGCGCGCGGGGGGCTGGGGGGCGCCCGGACTCGGGCCGGGCCTCACTCGCTCCCTCCCTCTCCCTCCCTCTCTCCCTCTCTCTCTTTTTTCTTTGCCTCTGCCCGGGACCCCCCACCCCAGACCTTCCTGCGAGTGCGAGCCAACCGGCAGACCCGGCTGAATGGTGAGTCGCGCCGGCCCCTCCCCCCGCCCCACCCCCCTCCCCTCCCCCTCCCCCTCCCGCCTGCAGCCAGGCCTCTCCGGCTCCTCGGGGACCCGTGGGTGGCGTCGTCGCAGCCGCAGCCGCAGCGAGGCTTCGGCCGGGCCTCAGTTTCCCCGCCTGTCGGATGGAGGTCAGGGCCCCCGGCTCTCGCGCCCGCCCCCCCCAAAGGCCCTAAAGAAGAGCCCTTGGAGGGGAGGGGGTGGGGGCAGTGGGACGAGGAGGAGCCGCCGGCGGACACAATTCCCACTCGGGGGGGAGCCCGAGCTTTGAACGCGCGACGCCGCCGGGAGCGCGCGGTACCAGCCAGCAGGGCGCCGAGCCTGGTTTTTCCTCCCCCCCTCCCCGTTTTTAATCAGGGCCCGGGCGCGTGAATGAATGAATGCAGCCTCTCCACTGAGAACTTTTGACCATGCAGGGAGAGATCTGGAGTTCCCACGGCAACAGGAACCAGACTCCTCATCCCGGGGCTCTTTGAGTTAGCAAGCCGGCCCGCCTCGCACAAAGGTGGTCAGCGTGGGCCCGTCGCCAAGCGCGCATAGCGGCCTGCCCTGAAAGCACACGGTGGACCAGCGCACACTCACACCACCTGGCCGCCCCCCACTCCCCCTTTTGGATCCAGGCCGCAGTCCAGCATTTCTGTGGGCTGCACACAATTGAAGGAGCCCCGCTTTTTTTTGTTTTGTTTTTTAATGCTGACTAGGGTGTGGTCTCCGGGGATTGGCTGCGAGAGAAGCCCCTTGCAGGGGGCACTCTGGGAGACTGAGGCCAGGGGAGCAGCATTTCTTCGATGCCCCGTGTTTTCTTTTGCCTGGCTGGGAGCCCCGACCCCCCCCCCCCCCCCCCCATCAGGGGCAGGGTGCCTTTTGCAGCCTAGCTCCGAGAATGTGCCCAACATTTTGTGAGGAAGGAAACTGAAAGCGGGGACCGGAGAGGGTGATTTGTTTAAAATCACACCCAGCTGGGCTGCAAGGAAATCAAGCTTTCCATCCAAGCGCGTTTATTCCCCCCAAGCCTGTGATGCTCCAGCCTCACCATCCTTTCTCCCTGACACAAGTTTTGACTTTCCCTGGACGTGAGGCAGCAAAACTTCTCCACCACACTGGCCTAGTTCTGAGTTTAGAAGGCGAGCGGTGGAAGGGAAAAAAGAACCAAATGTGCTTTGCTCATCGGACAATTTCCAGGTGATAACCAACTCAGCTGGTGCTTCTGGGATTCCTGGCGTCCAGCCAAGGTGAACTGGGCAAGGAAAAGCACCCAGTATCTTCTCCTTGACTAGCCTCTGGGATTCGGTTCTCTATTCAGCTGCCAGGTGGCCCCTCCTTTTTTTTGGGGGTTTTTTTTTTTTTTTTTTTTTGCTTTTTTTGTGTCACACCCAGCGATGCACAAGGGTTACTCCTGGTTCATGCACTCAGGAATTACTCCTGGCCGTGCTCCAGGGACCATATGGGATGTTGGGAATCGAACCCGGGTCAGGCCACGTGCGAGGCAAACGCCCTACCCGCTGTGCTATCACTCCAGCCCGGGTGGCCCCTTCCTACTGACCAGGCACTCCCTTGAACTCTAGGTGGAGGAGGAGATTCTTTCAGTGATGCCTTTCCATTGGCGTATTGTCTTCTTGAACTTCCAGGGTCCCCTGCCCAGTCCCTTTCTGTTCTCTACATCCAGCCTCTGTTCCAGAGCTTGCTGAGGATTTTAAAGGTGGTTCCGCCTGAGTTTCCAAGAGCTCGGGCAGTCAAGTCAAAGAGCCGATCGTTCATTGTCCACAAACCAAGCGGGGCCCCATAGCAGTCACATTCACTCAGTCTGGGGAAAGCACAGGAAATCGAGGTTTCACAGACTGCTCATTCCCGTTGGGTTGATGACTCTCCTATTGGTCTGAGTCTTTCTGGACCTCCTCTTGATTAGCCTTGGAGTATCTGCCTGCCCTGGAATCCTGAGCAGACTAGAGCTAGGGACCCAGTGCCTGTTACGCTCTTTGTGGTTTGGGGTTGGGAGGGCGTGTCAGAGCCCATGCCGCTCAAGTGCCTTTCCTGGCGTCTTTCCTGCTTGGAGAACCATGCAGCGGTGGAGATCAAACCCCCGGCTCCAGCATGCAGAGCATATGCGTATAAGCCATCTCCTCCCTCTGCCCCCCCTCCCCCGCCCCATGCATATTCTTGCTGCCCTGTCAGAACTAAGGACTTGCTTGGTACCGATTAGTCAGGGTATTCTTTTTTTTTTTTTCTTTTTGGGTCACACCCGGCGATGCTCAGGGGTTCTTCCTGGCTCATGCACTCAGGAATCACTCCTGGTGGTGCTCGGGGGACCATGTGGGATGCTGGGAATCGAACCTGGGTCGGCCATGTTGGCTGCGTGCAAGGCAAACGCCCTACCCGCTGTGCTGTCGCTCCAGCCCCAGTCAGGGTATTCTTAGGTAGACCATTCTCGGCACTAGAGTCAGCTTTGGTTTTCTGTTCTGCCTTTGCCATTTCTTAGAAATCTGGACAAGTGGGCTCTGTCTCAAGGACCCGTAAGTGTCTTCGGTAACAACGGATAAGGCAGCCTTGGCTTCAGGGTACAAAGTAAAGGCGCGCTCGCCTAAGGTGCTCAACCCTGAGACTGGGGGGCTCTGGCTGGTAATGTTTCCGCTCTCTCCTGTGTCTCCCACGGCTGTGTTCATGAGTCTTGTCCTGCGAAGGTCAGTGTCGTGAGAAAGTCCCTCCCTCCCCACACCGCGCGGCAGAGAGTGGCCCACTCTGCTGCTGCATCCAGGAAGGGGCGAGAGGGAACCAGTGTCTCGCTGTGACCCCTTCCTGCTTTGGTGACAGGAGGGCTGCAGAGAGGGATTAGTGAGGTAATTAGAAATGATCGCATCTCTCAGTATTAATTAGCAGTGCTGTGGGCTTGCCGTGTGCACTTTGGAACGGAGCCCCCTCGGGACAGCGCGGCAGGCAGCCCTCTGCCTCTGGGGCCGGCCAACCCTCGGCACTGATTAGAAATGATGGAGCCCGGGTGGGGCTGCCCTCCCATGGCCCCCAGGCTCGGCCCACTCGGCCCTCAGTGCCTCCGAGGTTGGGCCTCGGTCTCCTCTTCTGTAAAATGGGGCCAGTGGACAAAAGAGAAAGTCTCCGTGCGGTGACTCTCGGTAGGCCGCTAAGGAATGTTGCCCAGGGCTTGTTGCCCAGGAGCAGCTAAGTGGATTTTAGCGACAGCATGTGCCGCAGGTCCTGTCGGGCTCCTGGAGGGTCCTGGGCTCCGTGCAGAGCTTGTTCTCTGCGGTTACGTCTCGACACCCAAAGAGCGCATGTTCTTGGCCTTCCAAGGAGCTCCCTGGCAACTCGGAGTGTCTTTTCTTTGGAGTAGGTAGTGCAGGTAGGGAGAGACAGGTTGGCCTTGAACGGCGGTAGCCCCAGTGGTGTTTGGCCGGGTCCGGCGCCGAGCGGAAGGGCGCGCGGCTGCCAGACGGGCACGAGGGATCGGCTCTCCTGGGACCCGGGGAGCTCCAGTGACCGTCTGCCTCTTCTGTGCTTTGTCCTCGGTCTCTCCATGCAGCTCGGATTGGGAAAATGAAACGGAGGAAGCAAGATGAAGGGCAGGTATGTCCCCTGTGCAGCCGCCCCCTGGCAGGATCGGAGCAGGAGATGAGTAGGCATGTGGAGCGTTGCCTGTCGAAGGTAGAGGGGCTCCCACCTCCCCCTGCCGCCCTGCACCCCCCAACTCTCGCTGCCTTCACATCTGTGGGCTGGGGTTTCCGTGTGCTCCTGGCAGCTGCTTGCTCTCTGCTCTCTGCCTTCTCGGCCTTCACTCTTCTTCCCCGCTTCCCTCCCGCCTCCTCTGGGGTTCCCGTGGCAAATTCCTGGGAAGAGGCCTGGGCGTGTGACCTCTCGGTCTGGTGCTGGGGGGGCCCATCCGGCTTCCCACAGCTGGGGGTGGGGTCCGAGCCTCCCTGGCAGGCCCTGGGGAGCAGGTCCGCCGGCCTGGCACCCACGTGATCCTGCGCTGCTCTCCACAGAGGGAAGGTTCCTGCGTGGCCGAGGAGGATACCGTGGACATCGAGCAGGAGAACAGCAACCGCTTTGAAGAGTATGAGTGGTGCGGGCAGAAGCGGATACGGGCCACCACTCTCCTGGAGGGTGGCTTCCGAGGTAACTGCCGCCGAGGCCCCGGCAGTGGCGCTCTGGCTGCCAGGCCTCCGCCGGGAGCCGGGAGGTCAGGGTGGGTGGCCGGGCATCCCGGCCCCCCACGTGGGAGTTGCCGCTGGCAGGGCTCCTTGGTGGCCACGCAGACCGCCTGTGATGTGCATATTAAAAGGGGTGTATTTGGGCAGGTAAATGGAAGGAAGGCTGCAAGCTCGGAGTGACGAGGGGGGCTCTCAGCCTCGGGTGATGCATTGAAGGTGACAGCCCAGCCGCGTTAGCACCTGCATAAAATATTAAAGGGACGGTTATGCATTTATCACTCCATCCCTCTTAAGGCTGATAAATGAGAATCCAGCAACCTGCTGTACACCTCCAGCACTGGGCCCTGAGGGCTTCCAGGCACGCACATCGGATTCTGCTCCTCCTCCTCCTCCTCCTCCTCCTCCTCCTCCTCGGCCCGTGTCAGGGAAATCAGTTCCAGAGGAGAGAGTGAGTTATGGCAAAATCTGACCTCCCGTGAGCCTCGCTGGAGAATCTAATTTTAGCTCTGATCCCACCCCTTCTCCGGGGATGCCCTCTGCCCCAGAGCGACGGGCCTGTGTCCAGCTGCTCCCTGCAGCCCCGGGGCCTCCCCCGGATTCCCAGGGCCCTGGCCAGCTCCTTGTGGGGAGATCACCTTGCTCCGTAGAGGTCCCCACCCCCGGATCAAAGAGTTGCAGGCATCCGCCCGGACGGGTTCGAGTACTCGCCTCACACTCCCCTGCGTGGCCCTGGCGTGGGGTCTGGTCCGCGGCCTCCAGCGCTCCTGTCTGCTGGGGCACAGCTGGCGCTGCAGCTTGTGGTCATTAAGTGTGCCAATCTGCTCCCATCTGCCTCCCGTTCTTTGGGCGATCTCCCAGGGGGCACCGCTGCACCTGGGACTCACTGCAGCTTGGGAGAGGTTGGCTGGTGCTGAGGAGTGGTCCTGCGCTGGAGTGGGTGTGTGTGTAAGGGGGGGAGGCGTTGGGGGGGAGGGTACGGGGCAGGCCCAGGCAGGACACTAGTCCTCTGGGCCCTTCATGTCACCCAGGCGTTTGGGGGTGGGCCAGAGTGTAAGTCAGGAAGGTCCACCAGGTCAGGCTCCCCCAAATCCAGTTTCCGAGAGCACGCAGCTGTCCCCCACCGCCCTGTCCCGGAGTGGCAGCACTCCGAGGCGTGGCAGGGGCTCCACAGAGCCAAGAGGCCCGGCCAGGCGAGGCGCTGCCTACGGTCGCGCCCGGCAGTGCCGGAGCCGCTTCTTTGGCTCCTTGGCACAGAGCTGGGTCCGACGGCTTCCGGTCACCAGAGGGGCTGAAGGGTTGGATCAAGCTGCACCGGCCTGTGATTGGACCAGGCGCCTCCCTGCGTGCCGGGGTGCACTCGCGGGCGGCTGGGGGGCTCTTGGGCCTGGGGCGGGTGTCAGTTTTCCCCGCGTGTTTACACTGAGGTGATTCCTTTCAAGAATTCCCGAGGGGGGCTCAAAGGGGGCCTTTGCTTTGAGCGATCTGGAGAGCGAGGATGCGGGTGAGACTTGAAGAGGGCGCCGGGGCCGGAGCCGCCTTTATGTGCAGAGAATTGCTCTCGCTTTCCTGATAGAAGCCCCTGCCGCCTCTCCAGCAGCCCAGTGCAGTCAAAAGACGGGCGGACTTGAAAGGCTGTTTTACAGCGAGAGCAGCAGGGGCCACGCGGCAGAGAGCGGGGCGCGGGGGAGCGGCGGAGGCTGGGCCTCCGCAGTGGTGGGGGGGCCGGATCAAAGGGAGGCCCCGGCGGATCCCCGCTGCCCGGGCTCCCGGAACCCTGTCTGCAGAGACTGGCCGTCCGGCGGGCTCCCCTTCTTGGCCAGGACCTGAGGCCCAACTCTTGGGGGGCTGGGTGTGGCCCGCCAGCAGGCTGGTGTCAGCTCAGCGCATTGATCGCCCGCCGGGCGGGCCGGGCCACAAGCCGGGCAGCGCGTGCTTAATGTGATTGAAAGGCAGTTAAAATGGCGGTGACCTTTTCAGGAGGAATTAGATTGCCTGCCAAGACCGGTTAGAGGGAGTGATAACGCCGGCTGAAGAAGCTGCCCAGCCGACTTCAGAGAGAGCGAGTGAGGCAGGATGAGCCGGCGAGCGGGGAGGCCCATTTAAGCTGCACTGTGCGTGCTGACAGACCTGAGATTGCCGCGCTTGTTAGGTGGGAGAGAATTGGAGAGCTGCAGATAAGTCGCCGGGTCCCACCCACCATCCCCGCTCCCGAGGCCCGGACCGTCGTCATCCTCACCCCAGCTTCCCGCCAGCCCAGCAGGCGCTGACGGAGCAGATCAGCTCCCTGCGTGTGATCTGCGTGGATGCGTGGGGAGCCCCGGGATTGGTCCCCAGAGAGCCTCGCTCACTGGGTGCCGAGCAGAGCCTGAAGTTCGCTAGCCTGCCACACTTCCCCGCGTGAGCACGCAGAGCACACCCCAGAAAGCTGTGCCATCAGGGGTCCCCCGGGACCTGCTTCTACTGTGACAGATGAGCCAGCCCTGTTCCCCTTGCCTGGCCCTGGGTCCTGGGTCCCAGAGAAGTGACTGGTAGTAGTGATAGCCCTTTCCCTGGACACCTACCCGCCCCGCCCTTCCCCTCCACACACACCGGAGGAGCCTGGAGCATCTCCAAGCTGCAAGGGACAGGCCTGGAGGAAGGTCCCGGGAACACCCGGGGTCCAGATAACATGACGTTGATGTGATGGGGACGGAGTGGCGAGATGAAGGGATTGCTAGGGAAATACGCAGGAAGTGGGAAGTGTCTGTGCTGCTGTATCTGTGGACCCCCGCAAGGAGCCTCTGACCCAGACAGGTGCTGGGCGAGAGCGCACAGGCCCTGGCCTGCCTCTCTCAGTCCCCACACAGGGGCCCCTGCTTACCGGTGGCTGGGCTGGGATCAGGGAGAGACAGCAGGGCGGCCCTGACACGGCCCTCTTGGCCTGTTTGGTTTTGCTTTTTTGTTCCGGGCCCACGTACTGCAGTGCTGGGAGCACCCGCTGGTGCCGGGATCAAACTCAGGCTTCTAGCAGACAAACCATGGGCACTAGCCTCCGAGCCTTCTCCCCAGCCTCTTCTCAGAGTCTGTCTGGCGAAAACTTCAGCGCCAGATTGTGAATCAAGGCAGTAGAAGGGCGCTTGGGCACAGAAATAACTTCCTGGCCCTGGCCATTGGCCCCCAGAGATGGGAACTGAGTTCTAACACTGTCCCCAGCACAGCCCTGCTGCCTGCCAGGGTGAGTGAGTGACAGGTGCTGAGCATCAAGGCCGTGGACGTGGGGGTGTCAGGTCTGCCGCTTTCTGCCTCCTCCCGCTAGGCCCTCCCGGCGGGAGGAGTGAGGAGAAGTGGCAAGGAGCAGGCCACCTCCTGTCCCCCGTGGCGATCGGTGGGATTTAATCGCCTCCTGGAATACCATTGTTAAGCGGGGACAAGCAGGAGCGAGTATCAATGGTTTTAAACGGTGTCTGTCTCCCCGCGTCTCCCCTGACGTGAGGCAGTGAGACGCTATCGAGGAGGCCCGGAAAGTGGCTAAGTGCGTCTGACACACGCCAACTCCCTGCCTCCACACTGGATAATTGCATTGTCAACTGTTCGGCGAGGTGGCAGGTGACACTGCAGGCCGATTGATTGTCCCGCATCGCAGCTCCCCAGACTGTCAGCTCCCCAATCGATGGCGTTTACACAAGACACCGTAACTGCATCTGTAACTAATTCCAGTGTAAAACTCTCCGGAAGCTGCTGGCTGCACCCCAGGCCCCTGGAGCCCCGCCCCTGGAGGCCCCGCCGAGGGCCTTTCTCGGGGCCCCGGTTCCGGTTCTAGAGGGAGCAGCAGGTGAGGAGATCGATGGCTCCTTTCTTGTGGTTTCAGGTTCCAGGACGTTACTGCCCCTAGTCAACGGGCATCTCCAGTTTCTCAATCGATCTGCTGATCAATTGATTAAATTAACACTGATTTTTTTTTCTTCTTCTTCTTCTCGATGACCCAGGAAGAAATGAGTTTATGAGAGGAGGTGTTCTGATAAAATTCAGGCTTGCTTGTCATTTCTGCACTGAAGCCCCTCCTGGTTCTCAGTGTTCCTGGGAGGGAAGGGCGTTTCCCCAGCAACCCCTGCCCCGGCAGGGCATCCCTGTGCGAATAAGCGGCACTTGGCATTGGGCTCGGTTTGCCTTAGGGAGCGGCCCAGGCCTTTTTCCCACTTTGAGTAAGGCCCGATTGAGGCACCCCCCTGGGTGCCTGAAGGGTGCTCTGGCTTATCATGGAGGTCTTTGCTGGGCCCCCACCCTTCCCTGGAGAGCAGCCTCACAAGTGACAGCTTGCTGGTTGTCCCCCGGTCACCTGGGAGCAGCCCGAGGAGTGGGAAGGCGCCGCCGTCTTCCTCTCTCGGTCTTGGTGGGCTGTTCCTCAGCTGCGGAGTGGGGCCTCACCACCGGCGGATGGGCGGGCAGGGGCGCTGGCTGCATAAAGCAGCTTGATGGCCATTTCTTTTTTTATCATGATTCTGCCAGAAGTCAGCAAGTCGGACGTTTCATTAAGAAAATAAAGCTTAATGTGTGGAGGAGGTCGGAGCAGGCTGGGGCCGCACCAGAGGAGGGTTGGTGGTTCCCACCTGCTCCGGACTGCTGTGGGGTGGCCAGGGTCTGACCTGTGTACTTGGGGGAATGCTGTCGGGGGCGGCCTAGATGCCCTTTTCTTTTTTCTTTTTTTTTTTTTTTGTAAGAATTCTTTTTTTTTATTTATTTTTTATTTTTTTTATTGTATTTTATTTTTTTTAAAGTTGTAGCTTTACAATTTTTTGTGCTTTGGTTTCAATTATACAATGATCAGATACCCATCCCTCCACCAGTGCCCATTTTCCACCACCATGGATAATATCCCTCCCACCCCCATCCCCCCATCCCCCCTGTCTCTGTGGCAGGGCAATCCCCTGTGTTCTCTCTCTCCTTTTGGGTGTTGTGGTCTGCAAAAGAGGCATTGAGTGGATGCCCTTTTCTTTGGCAAGGAAAAAAGCCGTGTCAGCAGGCCGCCGTACAGCTAGGGCTTCGGGCCACGGAAAGGGGCGTTCTGAGTTGCGTCCAGGCCTGGGATGTGCTTGGGCATCACAGTGCCGTGGCTGCTGGCCATGCTGCACAGCGCCTGCTGGGGGCTGCCACCTCCGTGCCGAGTGGCACTAGGACCCTCCCTAGCTTGGTTGTCTGATGGGTGGGAGGCACCGGTGAGACGGGGCACCAGGCAGGATTTTGGAGTGGCACAGGAAGGGCACCTGAGAGCAGTGTGGTTGACAGCACACTAGGCACCCCAGGGCCTCTCGGGCACCCTCCACACAGGTAGCCAGTGGTGAGTGCGGGGTCGGAGGGATCCCACAGCAGTTGCTCCGGAAGGTGCAGAGTCCGTGGAAGGATGCTCGGACAGGCATTTGCTCGGCATCCCGGAGCGTCAGAGGTGTGGGTTGGGGGACACGGGGGCTGGACACCACCCTGAGACCTGCTCCAGCGGGCAGAACTGGGCCCTGGGGCCCAATAGCTGCTTTCTGTGTGGAGAGGCAGGCGTGGCCTGGCCCTCGAGGGTACCCCATTCTCTTAGCAGCGCCCAGGTTGTCTGCTGTCCTTGTCACCCACCCGTCCGCCAGGGCCAGGCTGGGCCCAGGGTATGAGGCTGATGGCTGAGCTGTGCAACCTGGGGGAGGGGGTGGCAGGCTCGGGGCGCAGGCGGTAAGTGAGCCTGATCGCTACATTCTGATTGATGGCGGAGTTTGTCTCCCAAACTGTCAGAGGGTTTATAGAGGTGCCACTCACCCACGAGGCGGGAATTGCCTGTCAGGACACCTGGCCGTGCGCAGGAGACAGAGCTGTAACTTGGTGTTTTCTCAGCTTAATGGCCCTGCTGCCGACCTGCCTGCTGCTTTGGGTTTGTCGCTGCCACGACGTTGGCAGATGAGGACTGGCAGCCCCACCTCCCGGGGCCGCCTCCCGCTAGGACGGAAGCAAAGGAGGAAAAGAAGGTCCAGGGGGGAAACGGGCTAGGGATATGCGTGTGTGCGGCCATGGGTTTGACTTCCAGCCTTGCCCCCCCAAAAAAAGGGATTGAGCTTTGAATGCTTGAGTTGGGCCAGAAAGGTGAGGACATTCCAGGCCACGGGGCCTGAGGGAGTGATGCTTCGGGTCCTGAGAGGCAGGATGGCATCAGGGTGCTTGGGAGGACAAGGCCAGGGCCCCTGGGTGCCCCCAGTCCTCATGACCCACCCGAGGAACTCAGACTTGCGTATGCTGTCGGTGGGCCACAGAAGGGACCACACAGGAGCCGGGGGAAGCAGGAAGGGGAAGGAGGTGGAGAGGCCTTGGTGGCAGTGACCCCCAGGGTGGCGGCCTGAGAAGGACAGGAATGGCAGGAGGAACACGGGTGCGCAGACAAAGCTCCCAAGCTGCCCCCTCGCCATCTCGGGATGTGCCTGCAAGTGTTCAGTGCAGAGTCCAGTGCTCGGGTCTCTCCACCCCTGCACAGCTCGCTGCTGGCATCTGTGGTGCAGTGCTCCAAGACCCAGGGAGAAGGTGCTGGGCTTCCCAGCCCTGGCTGTGGGGCTGGATAGTGGGGGAGTCCCAGGCCCCGGCAGGTGACCACCTGGTTCTGCTCTGGCTTCCGCTGCCCTGCCTGCTGTGGCCCGGAGTGTGCATTTGGCCGTATCCGGGCCCTCGATGATCCCAGCCGCTGTCCTGGCCACCGTCACACTCAGGGAAGCAGGTGTGCATGCCTATCCACCCTCATCTGTCCCTTTGTAATCCCTGTAACTGCACTTGTCCAGGAATCCGGGCTGCGTGAGGTGGAGATGAATTATTAATGTCAGGCGCTTCAGACACCAAATATTTGAACAGCTGCCTGGTGTTTTTGCTGGCAAGGACCTGGCGGCCAAAACCAGGCCATTGGCTGGGGGTCCCACTCTGGCTCTGATGGGTCTTCACGTGCCTGCTCTCCCTTCAGCGGACTTGTCCCACGGGCCCAGGTGGCGGGTCGCCAAGGTCTTAGGAGTGACCTTTGGCACCTGAGTTTGCCTCTCCACTTCTGAGCCCTGGAAACTGGTGGGCAGCTTCTCCCATGTCTCCCACAGAGTGTGTGGTGTGGGCAGAGACCCCCTGGAAACAGCAGGCAGGACAGGGGAAGGTGGGCTGCGAGGGCTGAAGGAACCGGAGTGTCCCCTGCACCGAAATACCACCCCTAGCCACGGGCCCCCGTCTGAAGGGCCGGGAGGAGCACCCTGGCCCTGTCCTCACGTCCTGCTCCCCACAGGCTCCGGCTTCGTCATGTGCAGCGGCAAAGAGAACCCAGATAGCGATGCGGACCTGGACGTGGATGGGGACGACACTCTGGAGTATGGGAAGCCACAGTATCCTTGAGGGACGGTGCGGGGGTAGGGACGGAGGCAGAGGGGGCCGGCGTCGGTGCTGTGGACCAGGACGGCCCTCGGGGCTCCCCCCACGCCGGAATCCACTGTCCTTGACCGCCATGCCAGGTACACGGAGGCCGACGTCATCCCCTGCACGGGCGAGGAGCCCGGAGAAGCCAAGGAGCGAGAGGCGCTGCGGGGCGCAGTCCTGAAGCAAGTGTGGGCAGAGGCCTGGGTGGGGGCCGGCGGGGCGGCCGGCGGGAGGCCCGGCCCCCCTCAGCCCCGCCCGCCCTCGGGACTCACTCTGGCTCCCTGCTTTCCTCCTCTAGTGGCGGCCCCCCCAGCACCCGAATCACACCCGAGTTCTCTAAGTGGGCCAGCGACGGTGAGTTGGCGCCCGGCGGAAGAAGGGGGCCCGGGGGCTGGCCTGGCCGGAGGCTGAGCTGTCCCTCTGTCCCCGCAGAGATGCCCTCGACCAGCAATGGGGAGAGCAGCAAGCAGGAGGCCATGCAGAAGACCTGCAAGAACAGCGACATCGAGAAGTGAGTGTCGGGCGGGGAGGGGCCCTCTGCCAGCAGGACGGCCGGCTGCCAGGCTCCGGCCGTGCCGCCCTGGCACACAGCTGGCGGTGGGGCCCAGCTGGTGCGGAGCGTGACTCTGAATCGATCGCTGGGCCGCGGCCCCCGGAGCCCCGGTGGAGGGAGGAGCAGGCGGCCCGCCTGCCCGCGGTGGCCGCCTCCGCCCGGGAGCATGATGTATGGCCGCCCAGCCCAGCCGGCGCGCTTGATTCATCTCCAGTTTCTGTTTCTTAATCGGGAGCTAAATTGGTTTCATTTTTCTTGTCCCGGGTGGCGCTGGCGGTGGGTTTTCGGCAGAAGCGCGGGGTCTCATCACTTGTCGTGCGAAGTTTTGGCTGGGGCCCTCTGGCAGGGGCAAAGGGGACCCGTTAGCGCTTCGCTCTGGCCCAAGATGGTCCCTGACCTGGCTCCCTGCGAGCCAGCGGCGACTGGACGTTTGCCGGCCGCTCCCTGCCCTCCCTGCTGTCCGAGACGCCCAGGCCAGGCCGCTTCTGGCCTCAGGAAGGGGCCCTGCCCGGGGCTGGAGCTGCCGCGGCGGTGGGCGCTGCGCGTGCCGCACGGCCTCGGCCCGCGCTGGGGTTCGAAGGCAGTCTCTTCATTCCGCGCCCGCGGCTCCGTCCCGCCTCCCGCCAGCAGGGTGGGTTGCAGGCCAGTGCAGGGCCGGGTCGGTGGCCCAGGGTCACCTCCCATTTGTTTCCCTCCATTTTGTGTTGTCATAAATTCATTCCAGCCCGTTGTGGTTGATCAGTTTATCTCGGCCGGGGCCGCGAGTGCTGCTGGCATGATGTATGGGCCGCGGCGCGGGGCCCAGCTGCCCATGAATCACCGCAGCTGCTCGGTGTCAGCGCCGGAGCGGGCCGCGCGGGTTCGGCACAGCCAGCTGGGGGGGGAGGAATGACGTATGGATGTTTATTTAATAATTCTCTCCTACTCCAGCTGAGCGGGGCGGGCGGGGCCGTAAGGGGCGCCCACCCTCATCTGGAGGGGCGCTCATAAATCAGAAAGACAAGATCATTAATCAGGGATGGCGCCCGAGGGGGAGGTGGGGCCGGAGCCTGTGGCCGTCCCGGGAAGGGCTGCCCACCCTGGGCTGGGGGACATCGGGGCTGCGGTCCCACCTGTGTGAGCACAGGCGCCACAGGGCAGGCTGCTTGGGACCAGTTGGGAGGTAGGACTCACCTGGCCAGGCCTCTCACGTCTGCATCGACCAGAATGGATGGGGCCAGCTGGGGTCCCACTCTCCTGGGATCAGTCCAGGTTCCTCCCTGACACCTCCTCACAGCAGGGCGGTCAGGATGCCCTGGGTCCTCCCAGGAAATTCTGCCGTCTGCCCAGGTGAGGCTCGGGAGTAGCTCCCCACAGCTGGGGGGATGGACTTGGAGGACGGTGTGTTTTACTGGAGCAGACAGGCAGAGGTGCCCAGGTTGGGCAGGTCCTGGATGGGCCCGAGAAGCGAACGTGGCCTTAAAGCTCTCAGTCGGCAACAGGCATGGAACAGCTTCATGGTCTCCTGGACCTGTCCTGTGTGCCGTTCAGGCTCTTCTGTCTCTGGTTCCCGTTCAGGGCCTGAGTCGGCTTTCCGGGATAGTCCCCCACTCCAGACCTCAGCTTCCACCCTTGAGGTAACTGCAGAGGGCCTGGCCAGCCTGGGAGAAGCGTGCCTCCTGGCCTCTGCGGGATTTCCCAGCAGTCTGAGGCACCGGGCGGGGTGCCAGGAGAGGGCCGGCTGTGTGGTGCTGCGCTGAGGGGGTTGTCAGGCTCCCCAAGGCGGCACGTTGGGTGGAGCCCGTGGGAATCAGCCCCGGGCGGGTCCCAGCCTTCCCCAGCTCCTTGCAGCGAGGATGAGGATGGCCGGCCGAGGGCTGGAGTGCCGCCCAGCCAGCAAGAAGTCACATTTCTGCGACCGCCAGGGCCCTAAGAAAGGTCCGAGGGCAAAGGGAAGGCCACCTGTGGAAGGCCACCCCCGTGCTCCCAGTGCCACGTGGCCTTCCACTTCCTGAGTTGTTCCTCCCCCAAGACTGGCAGCTCGTCTTGCCGCAGTACCTCGAGCTGTTACTCCAGCTCGGCCCCTCTCTGCCTCCAGACTCGGTGTCCGCGCCCCGCTCCCGCTCGGCCACTTTCTGTTTCCTGTCCTTCCAGCCAGAGGGGGCGCGGGGGTCCGCGGGGCCTGTCCCCTCCTGCGTCTGCAGCACGGGGATACGTGGGCCCCAGCTGGTCGCAGAGTGGGTCTCCCCGGCTGCTCCCACCTTGAGCGCGCTGTTCACTTCTGTGCTTCCGCGTCTTCACTTATAAAGTGGGACGATTAGGGACACCTCGCGGGACTTCTGTCAGGTGTAAATAAGATAATAATTATCAATCCCTCAGTACGGGCGCTGGCATTTACCAAGTGCTTCATAAATTTGAGCTATTTGTATTCTCGTCATCGTTATTCCCCGTGGCCCTTCTCCAGCGCGTCTTTCCCTGCCTCCAGGAGTGTTCTGTGGGCTCCTCTGGGTTCCTTTCACTCGTGTCAGGGGCGGAGTCACCACCCCCAGCTCACTGTGGCCCCAAGAGGCTTTGGGGGCCTTGTGGAACGGGGCTTGGATAGCAGCCAAGCCCGTGCAGGAGGGAGCCCCAGCCCCCCCCATTTCACAGCCCCTCTCTCACAGATGAACCCTTGCTCCAGGCTCCGGACAGGGCTGACAGGTGTGGTGGTCATGGCCATGGAGTGAGCAACTGGCCCTCAGGGAACAGGGTGTCACCAAGGAGACGGGTGCTGGCAGCAGAGTTGCTGAAGGGCGGGAAGGTTTGGGGGAGGAGGAATTGGGCACGGAAGCTGTGGAGCTGGGGATGAGCCAGGAGGGGAGAGTGAGGTCGCGGGGAGAGACCAGGTTTCCTGAGGAGCACGGCTGCACCCAAGGCTTGAATTCGAGGCACGCGGACGCTTGGGATGGTTCAGCAGAGACACGTTGGAGGAAGAGATGGTCGGGGCTACAGAATCCTGGGTCCTGGGAGAGTAGGCAGAGCTGAGGGGAGTGGAGGGACCCGTGGGCGTCACAAGAACCCGGACTCTGGATAGAGGCGGAAAGTGTGGGAGACTGGGGGGGGGGGGCAGGGAGGGAATGGTCGGAGGGTGGCTCCTGGGTGGTGTGTTGGAAAGGCACCGGAGACGGTGTGTTTGGCCCGAGGACGTGGCGTTTGCAGATGGAGGCGGGGGCGGAGGTGGCAGGACCGCCGTCTCGGATTCAGAATTCCAGGGAGCTGCCTGCCCGGCTATGCCGTGCCCTGTTCTCTCTGCAGAATCACCGAGGATTCGGCGGTGACCACGTTTGAGGCCCTGAAGGCTCGGGTCAGGGAACTTGAACGGCAGCTCTCCCGGGGGGACCGTTACAAATGCCTCATCTGCATGGTGAGAGGACGGGGCATGGGCTGCCCGTGGGGGTCGGGGAGGGCCTCTGCGCCGTCCGGGCCGCCTCTGAGTGACCCCCTCTCGGCCCGCCTGCCCCCCAGGACTCCTACTCGATGCCCCTGACGTCCATCCAGTGCTGGCACGTGCACTGTGAGGAGTGCTGGCTGCGGACCCTGGTGAGGCGGCGCGGGGGCGTGGGGGGCGCCTTGGGGGGCAGCGGGGGGGGCGACAGGGCGCCAGAAGCCAGGCCTTCACCCCCAGCACCCGCGTGTGCCCAGCTACTCCCTCCCGGCTTCACCGCCACCCCCAGGAGGCCCCCTGGGTCCCCCACACTGGTGAGATCCTGGGTCAGGAGGCGGCGGGGGTGGGGGGAGCAGGACCGGGCCTCCCCCTCCCGTTCCCCCTCCCCCTCCCCCCCCCCCCATCAGGCAGCGCCTTCTGCTCTTGCCCCCGTCCTCGCTCGCTCGGGAGCGGCCATTAAAATGTCGCCCGGAGACAGCAATAAAAGGCCCGGACGTGGGCTCTGTGTCCTGATCAAAGGCCGCGTGTAATCTCGTTAGGGCCGAGGCAGCCACAGCTGGACCCGGCCTTGTTCTCATTACCGGGGCTCCCGCTGTGGGGCTGGCCGGGCGGTTTGATCCTGGCGCCCCCCCAACACGGGAGCGTGCCTGCCTGTTCCCGGGCTGCCGGGGGCTCAGGCCGCAGGTGCGGGCGCCCTGCCCGCGCGTGTGTGACCCGCGCCCCTCCCCCGCTCTCCCCGCAGGGGGCCAAGAAGCTCTGCCCCCAGTGCAACACCATCACGGCGCCCGGAGACCTGCGGAGAGTCTACCTGTGAGCTGGCCGCCGCGGCCTCCCCTTTGTCCAGCCCTGCCCAGGGCGCCCGTGTACACGCACGCACACACACGCACACACACGCAGGACTCGAGCCAGCGCGCGGGCCCAGGGCCGGGCCCTACCCGCTGGCTCCCCAGGATGGGGGACCATAGGCGTTCCAGGTTCTATTCCGGGGGGAGGGCAGGGAGAGGGGGCGGGCGGAGTGGCTGGCGGGGCAGGGGTCCTGCCACCCAGCCCCGAGACAGACAGACTGACAGACCGACATGCAGACACCAGACTGAAGCACATGTAATATAGACCGTGTATGTTTACAATGTTGTGTATAAATGGGACCGCACCAGGCCCTCCGCCCCGCCCCTCCTCTCGGCTTGTACGATTTTCTTCTTTTTTTAAGAAGACCTGGACGCGGTGTCTCCAGGGCTGGCTGGGGGCTCGGCCCATCCACCCGGGGTGCCTGCCCCTCCCCTCCTGTGGTGTCCCTCCCCTCTCCCGTGTGCTCCGTGGTCAGTGGTGTATATTTCTTCTCCCTACAGGGGGCGCGAGCCCCGAGGGACATGATCCTCTCCTTAGTCTTAGCTCCTGGGGCTTCTAGAAGGAGTCGGGGAGGCGGGAGGTGCAGGAAACGGGACCCGGGCTGAGCGGGGGCTGAGATGGGGCCGGACGAGGGTGCCCCTGGCTGCCCAGCCTCCTGCCCAGAACTATCCCTGGGACGAGCTGCTGTTCCAGGGTCAGCGTGGTCTCCCCGCCCCCTGCAGCCCCGTGGTGTGATGCTGTGTCTGTATATTCTATACAAAGGTACTTGTCCTTCCCCTTTGTAAACTACATTTGACATGGATTAAACCAGTATCAACAGCACTGCCTGTGTGTGTGCACGTGAGGGGGTGTGCCGGGGTGGCGCGGCGACCAGTGAAGCGGGGGGCGCGGGGGATGACCGTGGGGGCGGTCTGCTCGGGAGCCCTGGGACACGCCGTCAGGGCGGGATGGGGCCGGGAGCCTGGACTCCCCACTATTGATGGGTAGGGCTCCAGGTTAATTCCTTATCGATGCAGAATCGTCAGCTCATTAATCACAGAAGAGGTCAGAGCTTAGGGGTAAGGAGGGGATGTGAGCTCTGTCCCCAGGCCAGGGCAGGGGGCGCCACAAGCTTGGGTGGTCACAAGCCTTGAGCCACTGTCCCTTTCGGGTCCCCTGAAATGAGCCAAGAACCAGCTATGCCGCCCCTCAACCCCTGTTCATTCGAGGACCCGTGGCTTGCGGTGCCGCTGCCCGAGGCCTGGAAACCGTTATCTTAGGTGGGTCCCCGAGTCAGAGGGCCGGATCTAGGCAGCTGGCACCAGAAGGGAGGCGGTCTCCACGAGACTGGTCTCCCCTGGGCAACCCACGGCCTCCATACCAACGTCCTGGGTGCTGGGCAGGTGCTCCCAGCTGCAGGGAAGTCCTCAGCTGCCACAGAAATCATCTCTGAAAGGCCCAGCTTGCCTCTGTTACCCCAGACGCCCGGCTCCATGCTCACACATCCTCCGTCTTCGCAAATCCACCCCGACACGCCTCTGGAGACTCCTGGGGTTGGGGTGGCACCTAGGACGAGTCTGGAATCCAGAGAAGGCCCTTCAGACCTCATCCCAGCTTGATGGGACCAAACCAACTACCCTGAACACCGGGGCCTGGGGCAGGCCTGTGGCTTGGCAGGCAGGGCAGCTCCAGTGATGGCAGAGAGTTCGGCAGACGGTGGGTGCCACCCAGTCTCTTGCAGGCATCACATTCTCCCTCTCCCCACCTTCGAGTGTTGGCCCATCGCTAGTGCCTCCCCACTTGGGAGCCCTCTCTGAGGGCACCTGAACCTCAGAGGCAGCACCGCGCCCACTGTGCTGTGGGAGACCCTTGGGCGGCCTCACGGCCCGGGCAGCACTGCCACCTGTTGGCCACGAGTGGGAGTGCAGCCACACCGCCACATCAGAACTGGGGCTTGGTTGGGGAAGGTGATGTCAGCCTGTGCAGACAGGATCCGCCAGTCCTGGGTATCCCAGGGCCTTCGTCACCGTCTGCCACAGGTTAGAAGTCCATCCCTGCCCACAGAGCCCCTCAGTCACCACAGGAGGCGCCTCCGTCTGATTTTATTGAATACCGAGTGCGACAGCAAGTGACCAAAGCCGCCTCCTGCCTTCCAAGCGCGTGCAGTCTCCTTGAGGAAGACCAGAAGTTGTGACTCCTGATGCTGTGCCCAGGATGCCCCCCGGCTGCCCGGGGCCCACAGCACGCTGCTGCCTTCCTGATCCCTGCTCCCCATCGTTCCTCCCACCTGGCAGTTTTCCTGCCTCCATCGGCTGGTTCCTGGCAAAATGACGGGCAGGCCCCAGCTCTGCCTCCTCAGCTCCCCTTTTAGCTTCTCAGACTCTGCACTGGCGAGCAGGTGGGCAGAGTTTGGGGGATCCCCACTGAGGGTTCACAGGGAAGGACTTCCTGTTGGGGGGCTTTCCTGTGGATCACCCCTACCTTTGGGCACCTGTCCAAGAAGCTCACCCTCTGTTCCAAAGCCAGTGACCCCCCTGAGCACGTCCCCAACACCCCCCCTATTAACCCCTTCCAGACCCAGGAATCAACAGCCTGGCAGTGGGCGGAGCCCCCCAGATACTCAGGCACTGCCGCCCTCTAGGGGCCAGGGGTCCCCTGACAACCACAGTCGCCCAGAACAGAGGCCCCGTGAACCCTCTAGGACCGTGAGGTTCTAAAGGGCGGGAGGGGCCCCAAGCCGGAATGGGCACCCCCCACCCCCGCCCTGGCTGCTGGTCACGGGGAGGGGCTGGGCACGCAGTCCTGGAGCTGAGGCGAGGGGGGCGAACCAGGCCCCCCGCCACGGATGCAGCTGCGCATGAAGCTGACGCAGAGGCTGGTGTAGTGCGCGGGGAAGTCGCGGAGGTGGCTGACGTGGGCCGACGACTCGAAGTCCACGGAACGCACCCAGACCCGCTGTGCCAGGCGGGCCTGCACCATGCGCTCCACATCCTTGGCCAGGACCACCCGGTCGGCCCGCGAGTAGAGGTAGAGCTCGGGCCAGCGGGAGGCGGCGTGGAGGAGCCTGTCGTAGAAGTGGGTGTAGAAGAGGGCGGTGAGTGGAGCCAGCAGGACGTGGAACAGGACGGCCACCAGGGCAAAGGCCCCCAGCAAGAGCAGGCGCAGCGCGGCCGGCCGGCGCTGCAGGACGGCTGCCAGGGCCCGCAGCGCCCCCACCAGGTTGCTGTCACCGGGCCCGCTGTCGAAGATGGTGCCCACCACGCGCAGGTGGCAGAAGCGCCGGCAGGTGTGCAGGAGCTCCAGCACGTGGCGGTACAGCATGACGCCGGCGTTGCTGAAGACGTGGAAGAGCAGCGGCTCCTGGTCCACCTCGTGGGTGAAGAGCAGCTCCAGGAGCTTCTGGGCCAAAACGCGCAGTGAAGGGATGCCCAGGGGCTCGGAGAAGAAGACCATATGCCAGGGGGCAGTGCAGCGGATCACGATGCAGCCCTTGGAAAGGGGAGAGAGGCCTGGTGGGTCCCCGGGAGGGACGCGGGACAGGCGAACGAGCTAAGGGCCCCCCAGCTACGAATCCCACGGGCCCGTGAGCCGGGCTGGGGCCTGGGCGCCCGTTCGCTCTTGGGGCACAGGTGCCTTCTGGAAGGGAGATGCCCAAGACCCGTCGGTGGGATCATCACTTCAGGCTGGCCCAGTGCCCTCAGCCTGTGATGGTAGGTGAGGGCTGGGTCCGGGGCATAATCAGAGACATCTGAACTGGCCAAAGGAAGTCTCCTCACTCGGGTCCACTTCCCCTCACCCAACCTTGGAAGCTTCCAGCACATTTAAGGCCTTGCTGCTTTGCCACACCCTGCGGAGTGACTCTCCCCTGTACGGTGCCCACCTTCCAGGCACAAATAGCTGACCCCTAAAAGACCCAATTTGTGAGACACAGCCTGTAAGCCCCAGCCTTGGCCACCAGGGGTCACTCGTGAGCCAGTCCAGCACGGAGTCCAGCCACCCCCTGCCCAGGGACAGTCCAGTCCAGCCTCAGGCCCACGCTCAGATCCATCCACTCCTTGCCCGAAACCTGAAATACAGGAAATGATATAGTTCCTTAACGCGCTGCTGCCGGTGTGTACCACTGGCGGCTCAGGCTTGGATGTGGCTCAACTAAGGCAAACCAGCCTGTGTCAAGTATCCAGTCGTGAAACTGGAGCCGGCCTTGACTTGACCCCCAGCAGCCAGGCTAAATGCATCTCCATCTCCAGGCCCAGCCCCATCCAGAGGGGCGGTAAGAGGCCCCGAGGCCGCGGGGTGAGTCCCGAGCCCTCAAAGGCGGGGAGAGCCCCGGGTGTGGGAAGCGCTGAGCTGGCGGTGGGGTCGATTCCCGGCTTCCACCGCACAGACAGACACACGGCGTTGTCGTCTCCCTGTCTGGCTCTGCTCGAGAGAAACACTGGAGGAAGCTCCTGTGAAAATACGCATCTCCGTGCCCGGGGCAGCACCTGGTGCGAAGGGCACTTTCCCTGTGAGCGGCAGGAAGGAAGCGGCCTGCCCTAGTGCCCGGATGTCCTGGAGTGGCAGGTCAGCTGTGCCCGCTCTCTGACTCCCGCCTCACCCCTGCCCACCCCTGCGGCCACTGCTCGCACCAAGGCCCCAGCAGACCTCAGCGCCCCTCCCAGGATGCCGGAGAGGGATCACTGTTGGCCCCTGGGCCCTGAGCTCTGCAGTCTCCACACACGCTCTTAACTCATCAGGGGCTGGGAAATGTCCTCCCCGACCCCGAGACCTGCACGGCCCACAAATACAAACACCCCCACGTCACTGTCACCCACACACCACCTCAGAGGAAACACCTGCGGACGCACGCCACCCCCCACTCGCTCAGGCAACGCCTCCGGGTCCCAAGAAGCACAGCAACCCCCGCCCCCAGCACCCACACCACTGCAGGAGGGTATGCACCAGCATGCTGCATTTCCTTCAAGAGCACGCACGCATGCACACAGACACGCGCACACACGCACACATGTCCACACACGCACGCACGCACGCACACACACTCTCCACTCCCCCTCAGCAAGCTCAGTGAATGCGTGTCAATGCTGCAGACCACAGCTGTGCCCTCTGGCGCCATCGCCCGTACATGCACACGGCTCACCCCGAGGATGCCCCACGTTCCCGTGAGGGGTGCACACGCCAGGCCTCCCTGCACCCACAGCTCCAGGCTCACCTTGAGGTCTGACGGCCCCTCCATCGCCACCTCCCAGCCGGATACTCGGAGGAGCCCCTGGGCTGGGGGCCTGGGTCTCGCTTTATCTGGCCTCTGTCTCCTCTCCCCCACCCGAACCCCTCTCCTCCCGCTCACGCCCAGTCTCCCCAGAGGCCCTGCCTGCTCCGTGACAGCCGCCTCCCGCTCCGAGCACTCTTCTCTTCCTCTCTCCGGAATCCTACTCCGACCGACCTCACAGCATCTGGTATTTCCTTTTGCCCACGCCGGGGATCAAACCCAGGGCCTCACCGGTGAAGCGTGTGCTCGGGCCGTTGAGCCACACCCCTGCCTCCTCCCGCCTCCTCTTCACCCCCAAGACCACCTTTGATGCTCCTCCCTCCCCCTCGCCATGTCCATGGACTCCAGCCTCCGACTGCCCTGCTCCTAGCAAGTCAGCCCCATTCTCTGAGTGGGCCGGCGGCAGGACCCCCGCGGGCGGCCTGCAGGGTCACACTCCTGCAAGACGCTCGGGTCATGTGGGCCCGGCAGTGGGTCGGTATCAGGCAAAGAGGGGCTGCTCCACCGCGTGGCCCCCTATGGGGAAGCATGTCCCGAAGGGGAGACGCTGGAGATGAAAGTCCAGGAGGCGAACATTCACTCGTGACCGTGCCAGGGTGGAGGCCCAGAGGAGACCAGCTCAGGACGCCATCTCTAGGCGGGCACAGGGTGCTTTCTGTTCCAGGCCACGACAACCTCTCAGGGATCTGAGACCGAAATAAATGTTCCCCTTGCTGCCCTGTCCTGCCGACCGGAGGGGAAGGGACACCCCTTCCTGACAGAGCCGGCCACTGCCCAGCTGCCTCCTGGCCCATTACTCCCCTTTGTCCTCATTCCTCTCCCATCCCTTCTTCCGCCTCCCTCTCCCTCCTCCCAGCACCCTCCCTGCCCTTTCTTCCTGCCTCTCTCTCTCCCCCTCCTCCCTGCCCCTTTCCTCTCCTCCACAGTGGCTCCACCCCGGGAAGTTTCATGTCCACCCTGCCTGCTGCCCAGTGCTGCCCCTCCTTTCCTTGCCACGCTCGCCTCATCTTCTGCCCCTTCAAGTCTGGCCTCCTGGGGCTGGAGCGATAGCACAGCGGGTAGGGCATTTGCCTTGCATGTGGCCGACCCGGGTTCGATTCCCAGCATCCCATATGGTCCCCTGAGTACCGCCCGGAGTAATTCCTGAGTGCAGAGCCAGGAGTCACCCCTGAGCATTGCCGGGTGTGACCCAAAAATTAAAAACAAAAACAAGTCTGGCCTCCTCAGGGCTCTGTCCCAGGCCCACTTGCCCATGTCCCTCACCCATTCCCCTACTCCCATCTTCTGGTGTGTCAACGTCTCAGAAGCAGCACCCCCCACCTCGAGCCAGAAACCTGCCCCCACCCCCGCCTACACCAACTGCTCTGCCGTCCACTCCGGAAAAAGTTCCTTGCCCTGGGGCTGGAGCGACAGCACAGCAGGTAGGGCATTTGCCTTGCACGCGGCCGACCCGGGTTCGATTCCCAGCATCCCATATGGTTCCCCAAGCCCTGTCTGGGGGTAATTCCTGAGTGCAGAGCCAGGAGTAAACCCTGTGCATCGCCGGGTGTGACCAAAAAGGAAAAAAAAAAAAGTTCCTTGACCCAACCTCTCCCCATGCCCACGGCACCAACTCCTGCCACGGTGCTCCTCCGTGCCCCACCACTCTGCAGGGAGGCACCCTAGGGAGCACCCACCTAACCTCACACCCACACCTAGGTTCCCTGGGGGCCCTCCAGACCCATGGACACTGCCCTTACTTTCTTCCCCCCCCCCCCCCCCCGACACGTGCCTCTTCCTCCACCTGCCACGAGAATCTGAGTGTGACGGAGCGGCCAGGCCAGCAGGCAGAGTACAGTGAGTGGCACTCGGGTGTAGCTGACAATCCCCGCAGGCTGCAACCACCTAGGGCGGGGCCGGGGCTCCCAGCCGAGCACTGGCCTCACACGTCTGACTCTGGGTCCCATCCCCATCACCACGGAAAAGCAAACACAACGTAAGAGGTTGAGCACCCCCGAAAGGTGGGGACAGAGGAGGGCTGTGTGGGTGGGGAGGAGGCCTCAGCGGGACGCGAGTGGGGGTTCCCCAGGGCCCACACAGAACCTCGGGCACTGGGCAGACAAGGGTCAGTGGAGGGAGGGCGAGGGCAGGGGCTACCACAGGCCGCCACTGTCTCAGAGCTCTCAGGCTGGCTTCCAGCGGGTGGCGGACACCACCTGTCCACCCTCCTGTGGGAGGTCTGGGCTGGAAGGGCCAACAACATGAAGGGGGTCCCCAAGACTTCCAGCCCCTCCAAAGGGGCTCCCCAGGGACGACTACTCCCCCACACTCTTTTTTCTTTTCTTTTCTTTTCTTTTCTTTTTTGCTTTTTGGGCCACACCTGGCGATGCTCAGGGGTTACTCCTGGCAGTGCCCGGGGACCATATAGGATGCCAGGGATCGAACCGGGGTCAGCTGCCTACAAGGCAAACGCTCTACCCACTGTACTGGGGCCCCGGCCCTTTCTACACCCCACTCTTGAGCAGCCTACAAAGAAGCAAGGAAACCTCCAGGCTGAGTCTCGTTTCCGCAAAGGTGCCCTGGCCAGCTGGTAAGGAGAGGAGAAAGGCCTGGGGGTTCCCAGAGACGCAGCCTTCGACCAAGTGCCCCTCGAGGTGCGGGCTCACTCCACAGCTATCAGGGAAGGGCTCCGGGCCAGAAGAGGTGTACAAAGGTCAGGGGGCAGAAAGGGACAGGCCAAACTGCTGAAGTCCCGGGAGCACTTGTCCTCGGCACAGGTCAAGAGCCTTCCCCAGGCCTGCCTGTCCCCTGCCGCTCAGTCAGACTCCACAGGACGCCACCTGCTGCAGTACTCACCCTCTTGTGGTAGATGGCGCTGTACTTGGCAAGGTTCTTGTCCGTGCAGCCTCCCCAGCCCAAGAGAATCACCAAAGGCTGCCGGGTCCCGGCCTCCTTCCCGCATCGACTGGGCCCGTTCTCTGAAACACAGAAACACAGACACGGGGAGGCGGTTTGGGGGTCAGTCAGCAGAGAGCTGGGGTGCGGGGTGGAGGGGCCTGGCCAATCCCATCTGTCGACTGCAGTTAGCCATGCACCTGACCCCCAAGACTGCTCCTTTAGGTCTGGGGCTCTCAGGAGCACTGTAGGGTATACTGGGAAATCCCTTTTCTGGGCCGGAGTGATGGGACAGCGGGTAGGGCGTTTGCCTTGCACGCGGCCGACCCGGGTTCAATTCCCAGCGTCCCACTTGGTCCCCCGAGCACGGCCAGGAGTGATTCCTGAGTGCATGAGCCAGGAGTAACCCCTGTGCATCGCCAGGTGTGACCCAAAAAGCAAAAAAAAAAAAAAAATGACATCTGAGGGGCCAGAGTGATAGACAGTGGGGAGGACGTTTGCCTTGCACACGGCCGACCCAGGTTTGATCCCCAGCATCCCATATGGTCCCCCAAACCCCGCCAGGAGTAATTCCTGAATGCAGAGCCAGGATTAACCCCTGAGCATAGCTGGGTGTGGCCCAAAAAGCCAAAAAAAAAAAGACATCTGAGCTTCCACAAGTCAAGTTCTACTGGAGCTGGAAGGTCGGTACCACTCACACGGGGCTGCTCTCACCCACAACCGTTGTGCGGCCTGAGAGAGTTCAGGGGGATAAGGTGCTTGTTTTGCATGTGGCTGACCATATTTCCATCCCTGGCACCGCTGAGGGTCCCCCAAGCAACAGTGGGGGTTGTCCCTGAGTACCACTTCCTGCAGCCATCCCCCCAAAAAAAATAAAATAATAACAGATAAAAAAAAAGAGCTAAGCTGGGGTCTGGGAGCTCAGACTGTGGGTGACAGCGTCTGGGGCTTGGGTGACCCAATGGACTCAGACGGAACAATGAGACATGAGCAGATGGGGGGGCGGTGCTCAGTGGAGAGGTGGGTGGGTCAAGAAACAGAACCAGAGGGTCCCTGCCAGCCCCCCTCCCACTGCGCCGTCACTCCAGAGAACAGTACTGCCGAGTCTGGGCTTGGACCCCCCGAACGTCAGTGGAGACCATTAGGACATTCCGGGGAAAAGCCCCCCGGCACCCACTAGAGCTCTCCTCCTTGGGCCCTGGCCTCGACCACGGGAGCTTCCGAAGAGGCTCCCCGCAACCTGAGGGGTCAGACCTCGCTCATTCACAAGCACCCGAGCACCCCCCAGGGAGCACTCGGCCCTCCGGGAAGGTCTGCGCCTGCCCTGCCAAGGATCAAACCACTGGGAGTGCTTGGCTGCCACCCGGGATTTACGGGTGCTGCTGGGGGCCCGGCAACAGTAAATCCCGAGGCTGGTTACGAGGGTGGTAAGTATAAATCACTAACCTTTGCACAAAAGGAAGACCACAATTTCCTGTGGAAATTAATGTGATTGAAAAGTTCAGTGCGCCTGCTCTCCGGCAGGGGGGACGCTGCCTGCGGAGATTAACTGCCCGCAACTGTCCCGCCGGGGTCCCACCGTGCGGTGCTCAGCCTCAGCAGCGCTCCTGCTGAACGACCCTTCTCAGGAGGCCTTGGGGAGGGGGGGCCGGGGAGCGCCATGCTCTCAGCAGTCCCGGGACCAGGCACGGCCCCTCGCATCTGCCACAAATCTCCGAGAACCACCCCAGCAGGCAGGCGGGGTACGGACCTTAGAGTCTCAGTTTCCCATGCCCCCCCCTCCCATCCCCACCCCTGCCACCACCTCCCCCCTACCACCACAATACACCAGCAGAGGGGCCAAAACACACAGAAGGTGCCCCCGCCCCTACCGGGTGGAGGGCTGAATCTCTGCCTGCCCCTGCCCCTGCCAGGAAGGAAGAACGCTTTCTGTTGTTGGTTGGGTTGGGTTTGGGGGCCACAGTCAGTAATGCTCAGGGCTTACTCCTAGCTCTGCACTCGGGGATCACTCCTGGTGGTGCTTGGAGGGGGGGGGGCTACGGGGAATTGCTGGGGACTGAGGCTTTGCCGGCCACTCGACCCACTTGTACTATCGCTCCAGCCCCAAATTGTAACTGCATTTTGCTCTAGCATACCCAGTCAAGGAAGAATGTCTTCACCAGGACTGTCTCTCCGTGAAGAAAACCTCAGACCCGGGCCGCCACAAGGCCTGCATCCTGAGCCCCACCTCAGTGTCCTGGGACAGACAACTGGCATGGGCCGGCATGCCCTGCAAATACCTCCCAGTCTCCTTCTCCCCCTCCTCTCTCCCTCCCTCCTCCCTCTCCTTCTCCCTCTCACCCTCTTCACGATCAGGGATAATTCCGGGCTCTGCATTCAGAAATTACACTGGACGGTGCTTGGGAACCCATCCGGGATGCCAGGGATCAAACCACGTTTGGGTGTATGCAAAGCAAGCACCTTACCAGCTGTCCTATCTCTCCGGCCCCCTCGAAACTGTCTAGTCTCTGACTCAGTAATTTCACTTCTAAGAAAGCAGATCACAGGGCCCGGAAAGATAGAAAAGGTGTCAAGGGTTCAACACCACCTTGCACACGGCCCCTATCGGCCCAATCCCTGGCCCCACATGTGGTCCTTCCAAGCACTACCAGGAGTGATCCCTGAGCACAGAGCCGGCACCGGGTGTGGCTCAACCCTCCCGCACAAAGAAACAAACCTTAAGGATGGAAACATAAAAGCTGAAACTACAAAATGCTTGAAGGAAACAGTAATCTTTGTGATCTTGAATTAAGCCATGTTTTTTTCAGATGTGACCAAAGGTAAAAAAAAAATAATAAATAATAAGTAATAATAAGTAGAACTTCCTCAGATTTTAAAGGAAGAAAAGGAAGGAAGGAAGGGAGGGAGGGAGGGAGGGAGGGGAGGGGAGGGGAGGGGAGGGGAGGGGAGGGGAGGGGAGGGAGGCAGCACGAAGGGCTGGAGCACATGCAGGAGGCCCAAGCTGGGTCCCTAGTACAGCATGGTCCCCCAAGTACCAACAGGAATGAGCCCCAAGCACTGCATACGTGACCCGAAAGGGAACAACCCACAGGATAAAAGTAAAGTAAAAAAAAACTTGTATAATTCCACAACAAGACAACCAGATGCTGTGCCAGAGAGAGAGAGTGAGTACAGGGGCTACAGCTGATTCTAGGTTCCCCCAAGCACCACCAGGAATGATCCCTGAGCACAGGGCCAGGGGTAACCCCTGAGCAGCACCAGGTGATCCAAATACATCTCCCACACCCTGTATCCCCCCCACCCAGAAAAAAGACAAAACAAATTATTTTTTTTGCTTTTTGGGTCACACCTGGCGATGCACAGAGGTTACTCCTGGCTCTGCACTCAGGAATTACTCCTTGTGGTGCCCGGGGGACCATATGGGAAGCTGGGAATCGAACCTGGGTCGGCCGCGTGCAAGGCAAATGCCCTACCCGCTGTGCTATCGCTTCGGCCCCGACAAAACAATTTTTAAAGAAAGGGATCTGAATAGACATTTCTCCAAAGAAGATATAAAAACGGCCAGTTAGGAGGTGAAAAGATGCCCAACACCACAGCCATTCGGGAAAAAAATCAAACTCACAGTGATATGCCACTTTGGTCAGCATCGAAAAGTCAGGTAACAATAAGAGCGGCTGAGCCGTGGAGAGGTCAGTGCCCTCACACACTGCTGTCAAGAACTGGGGAAGGGACAGCGGCTTTGCCCGGGCCTCCAAGCACTAAGCACGCTGTCCCAGCACTCCCACTCCGATGATCTGTGCCAGAGAACTGCCGCCCCACATCCACGCCGAGCGGTACGGCGATGCTCACAGCAGCACTCCTGCCGGAAGGGACGCGGGGCAGGTCCAGGCAGCATAATTCAGTTATGACGGAAAGGGATAAAGAAGGGGCACGTGTCACAACAAGACGGACCTTGAGCGCGGATGCTAAGAGGAAAGGGCAGTCTCAGAAGACCACCGACGGCGCGCCTGGGTTTGTGTGCCATGGGCCACAGTAGGCAAATCCACCAGCAGCAGCAGATTGGCAGTGGCAGGAGCCGGAGGTGAAGGGATCGGGTAATGACAAACGGGAGAGGATTTCTGGGTGAGGTAGTGAGGATGTCCTGGAACTAAGACAGGGGCGTGGCTGGCGCAATTCTGTGAATGCTCTAAAAAGCAGTGAACTGCCTATTTTCGAAGGGTACATTTTATGGTATGTGAGTTAGCTCTTAATCAGGCTATTATTTAATAAATTAATAGTACTACATTAAGGGGGAAAACAAGCTTAAAAGCAGTATGCATGTGTCGCAGAAAAAAAAACATACATATAAACGGCAAAAAATGAGTAGCAATTATTTCTAGAATTAGATATTTCTTTTTCATTATTTTAACCCATTTCCTAAAATCAATATGTATCACTTAAGACGTTCTCTTTAAAAAGATCGGGGACAGTGTCAGCAGAATCAGAGCAGCTGAGAAGTCAAAGGGGGCTGGGTGCCCACAAGCCCAGCAGGGCTTGGGGTTCTTTCCAACAAGGACACTCCTGGTGGCTGGTGGGGGCAGGGGGAGTTGGAGCCAGACCCACTGTCCCAGGGCTCCCTCCGGGCTCTGTGATCAGGGATTATTCCACGTGGAGCTCAAAGGATCCTATGTGGTGCCAAGGACCAAACCAGCTCGGCTGCAAGCAAGGTGAGCCCAATACGGACTTTTCTGCCAGATGGAACCAAAGTATACTTTCTTTTCATTTCACTTAATCTCCGTTTTTAGGCCACACCGCCCCCCAGCAGTGCTCAGGAGCTATTCTTAGGTCAATGCCGGTGGACAGTTCCCAGCATGCTCAGGGTCCTATGTGGTACCAGGGATCAAACCCAGGTCCTCTTGTATGCAAATGATATGCTCTGTCCAGTGAGCTATCTCCCCAGCCAATGTATTTTTTTTTTCAAAATGTAGAGTAATAAAGGACCTCCAGGGACTGGAGCGACAGCACAGCGGGTACGGCATTTGCCTTGCATGCGGCCGACCCAGGTTCGATTCCCAGCATCCCATATGGTCCCCCGGGCACCGCCAGGAGTCATTCCTGAGTGCACAAGCCAGGAGTAACCCCTGAGCATCGCCAGGTGTGACCCAAAAAGAAAAAAAAATAGGACCAAAGGACCTCCAAGGTCCTCTATTCCCCGGAAATACTGGAATCCCACTGTTCTATATTTAAACCGAATTATGATTATTATTTTAACTTTTTGAAATCACAATATAAGACAGTAGGTATAGCTCTCGAAGGGGACATACAATATAAAACCGTATCTGGGTTTAAATCTCTGGTTCTGCCAAGAATAGCAACGAAAGAAATCAAGTTCCTTATCTTGGAAATGGGGCGAATAATACACAGAATTAAATAAGGTAATGACAGCGGAGGGCTCAGCAAGGGACAAAAAAAGTTCAATAAATTGAGGTTATTATTATTACTTCACAAGGAATGCATGCTCGCTTGCAGAAACGGAGAAAAGAACCCCTAATAAAATTGGCATCACGCTGTTTTGTAATCTGCTTCCATTTAGCAATATATTGTGAACGTCTCCCCCTGTCAGTTTCTATATTTCCACGCCGTTCTTTCTAGGGGCTGCAGAGCAGCTCCGGAATATTCCATAATTTATGGCGAACCTTCCCTAATGGGCAAATCTCCCCTTACTGGACGCGATATTGTTTCCAATTTTTTGCTGTTATAAAAATCCTTTCACGGACCCCTCAACTGTGGCCTAGAAATGTAACCAATGCCCTGCCCCAGGGTGACTGAAAAACGCACATAAACTGAGACTGGGGTTCCCACACTGAAACCTGGCATAACCCGGGGCCAGCTACTTCATGTCCCCAGTCTGTCCCTCAACTGCAAAACTAGCTGAAAGGGCTCCCTCGGGTTAGTGCTTCCTGGGGCTTCTGACCCACAATCATTTTTGTTAACACGTGAAAGAAATCATGATTGAAATAGAGGAGAGGGGGCCACAGAGACCGCAGCGCGGGTGGGGCGCCTGCCCTGAACGCAGCCGACCCACCTCCTAAGGTCCCCTGAGACCTGCCCGGGAGTGATCCGAAGCAAGCTGGCAGTAAGCCCTGCGCATCACTGGGTGTACCCCAAACGCCAAAAATGAAACAAAGGAAAGGCCTCTGTTTCTTTTTTCTGTTGTTTTTGGTTTTGGGGTCTCACCCGGCAGTGCTCAGGGCTTACTCCCGGCTCTGTGCTCAGGGATCACTCCTGGCAGGCTTGGGGGAATCGTATATATAGTGCCAGGGATCAAACCCAGGTGGGCCATGTGCAAGGCGAGTGCCCTATTCACTGGACTATGGCCCTGGCCCTACCTCTGTTTCTTTTGGGAAAAAAGCACCTCTGGGGTCCCCGCAGACCAGAGGAAGCTCAGATCTCAGTTCACCTTGCCGGGGCCTTTGAGATGACTTTCTTTCATTTCATTCCCAGCTTGGGAAAGCAGGCCCCACTGCAGGCCAGGACCCACCAGCTGCCTGTCAGCCCCCCAGAAGCGCAGATCCACTCTGGGTCTCTCCCAGAAAGCCATGGTGGAGCATGCATCACTCCAGATTGTGGCCTGGGTACCAGTGAGCCTCCCAGCAGTGCTCAAGGGTCCATGAGGTGCCCAGGAGCAAATCTGGGCCCTCGTGCATGCGAGCTGTGTCCTCTGCCCTTTGACTCATCTCTCCAGCCCTGAGTCTACAATTTTGTTGGTTCGTTAGTTTTTGGGCCCCATCCAGCTACTCCTGGCTTGGTGCTCAGGGGACAAGGGGGGGAGGGCGGGGATTGAACCCTGATCAGCCACGTGCCCTGCTCTCTGTCCTATCTCTCAAGTCCCGAGTCTACATTTCCTGACCCCTGCCAGAAGAGCAGATTCACAATAAATCATCCCTTCTCCTCTCTGTGACCCCTGGCAGGCCTTCTCTGTACCCTTTGCCCAGCCTGTAAATTCTATCAATTATTTCTGATCCGGTTCCTGACTGTGAGGGCAGCGGGTGCCTGTACACAGGCCTGCCTGGCCAGTGGAGGCCGGGGCGCGGCTGACCTCTCTCTGGCTGGGAGGAGGGGCAGCTCTGGCTCAGGTCCCCACGCTGCCAAGTGACCCACTCCACTGGATGCCTCATCCTTGCCAGGTCTAGCAACCGAAGCAGGGCGCACCTTCCTCAGGGAAGAAATCACTGGCCAGAGAAGTTGGGATGGGGTGGCGGTGAGGGGCGGAGAGCAGGCAAAATTGAGAACAAGGGCCTGGTTTCAGCACAAGACCAGGCAGATTACCCCCAGCAGGAACAGCCACAGATACCGGCCAGTGAGAATCCCAGCAGGAGGTACTGGCCTGGCCAGCTGGGCCCTGAATGACCCCCTGACCTACAGCTGTCTCCAGCTCACTGCCATGCCAGCCGCGGCTGCTCCCCTCTCAGTCAAGTCCCAGCAGGGTTGGGCTCTGGTGCCGAGGCTCAAAGGCACAGAAGCAAGTCCAGCAAGCAAAGAAGTCGGATGCCCTCACACCTCCCCACCACTCCTCAGTTCTTGCTAACGAATGAGGGTGCCCGAAGAAGGCCACTCTCTGAAGCTGCCTCACTCTGGAAAGGAACTTCCTCGAGACGGGAAGCAAACACGTCCAGGGGATCAGCACGCGGTTACCTCCTTCTGAGGGGTCCTATGCTCTCCAGCCCGGCTCAAGTGGGGTATGCACTAACGAGGGAAGGGTGTGATGAACTGAGGTCAGTCCAGCGGAGTGATCACGAGGAGCTTAGCAGAGCCACATCAGAGGAAGAACAGCTGAAGGCGGGCCTCAGAGTATTTTCCTTCAAGAAGAATGATTGGAGAAAGGCATGAAACTGTCCTCTTAGGAAAATACTGCCTTGCTTTACGCTGTACTCAGCAAGGCCCTCTGACCCTGAGACCAGCAACATGGCTGTGAAACCCTCACCCTTGCCCAAAGGGAGCATGTGCGTCAGTCACTTCTACAGCACTGGCAGCAGATCCAGAGCCAGGACACAGTTAATGCTGAACTGAAAGCAGAAATGACCCAAGGACATGCTGGGGCTCAAGAGAGGGAAGCGCTTTCTAGCAATCCCAGTGGCCCACAACAGGCCAGGAAGTCTGGAAGCATCCTGTTGGGGTCTGAGGCGAGAGGACAAAAGGGTCCCCCTGAGATTTCCCCCAGCCTCTTGGAGCCATGAGCACAGCCCACGGGCAGACACCCCCTGGCACACACATCCTGCCTCTCTCTTAGCCCTGACAGTTCCAGAGGTAGGGCTGCTCCCATATGACAGGGCAGGGATCGGCTCAGAAAGGTTCGGTAACTTGCCAAAGTCAGAGAACCAGTAAGAGGCCAGGATGAAATGCAAACCAAGACCTTCAGCTGCCCAGCTGGACTACAAGAATGTTCATCTGACCGCCTGGCTGAGACAAAGTCATCCCCCAGCAGTTGAAGGTTCTAACAGTCAGGCTCACTCATGGGGCGGTGATATTTTCAAAAACTTCTCAAGACTATTTGATGTCCATAAGCCCACAAAGCCTAAGCTAGCAGATTCACCTCTCAGGAAACACAGCTGGTCTGGAGAAGTGATGAGCTGGACAGGGAGGGAGGAGTGCAAGCAAGGGCATTCCAGACGAGAAGCAGCGGGAGCCCAGGCAGAGAAGCAAGGGGTGGGTGGACAATCACAGGCCACTGGGGGATGCCAGAACATAAAACCTGAACGGGAGAAGGACACAGTAATCAAACAGATAAGCGGGTGACTGCTAAATTATGATGGCCTTTGAACATGGTAGAAGGAATCAGGACTTGATTTATCCTGAGGGCAATAAGGAGCCACTGAAGGGTTTTATGGGAAGGGTTTCATGATAAGATCAGGCCTCCGCAACAGGATGGTAGCGAAGAAGAGGCTGGAGACCGGAGGCGTGAAGGTGAAACAGGATCGCAAGCGAGAGCCCTGCTTGGCTCAGGCTGGCAGCTACTTCCCCCACCATAATTCCCAGCAGTCTCCAGATCCCCAAACCACCTCGCACTGCCCAGGACCTAGGCATGCTCTGCCCGGTGCTAACCCTATGGGGCCTGCCATTCACCTCCCTTGAATGTCACCCAGGGGTCAACAAACCAGGGAAGTAATGGTCATCACCAAGCCCCACTGAATGCCAGACACTGTCCTGGGTCTCTAAGACTATCCACCTCGGGTGAGGGGTGTCAGGTTGTTGGGATTCTGTGCACGGGGCACCATCACAGAACCACCTCGACCAACAACGGTGCAAACACAAACTGCCTTGAGTTGTGCAACAACCCCACGGGGCCGGCTACCATCAGGCACCTAGGCTCTGCAGGGGAGGAAAGGGGAGGAAACTGGACTGTCCGGTCATACAAACGGGAGAAGTCAGATTAGTCAGATTAGTATTGGTATTATTTGTATTAGAGTTCCCACTACCAAAGTGAGTGGAGATACGGGATCTGAGGCAAGTTTCTGCAAGGCACCGGAAAACAGAATTCTGACTTTTTTTTTTGCTTTTTGGGTCACACCCAGGAATGCTCAGGGGTCACTCCTGGCTCTGCACTCAGGAATGACTCCTGGCGGTGCTTGGGGGACCATATGGGATCGAACCCAGGTCGGTCGCGTGCAAGGCAAACGCTGTGCTATCGCTCCCCAAGAATTCTGACTTCAAAGACGGAAAGAAAGGGGCCCTAACCTAGCAGAGGGCGCGGGCGGGGGGCGGGGCTCGGACACCGCGGGGGGGGGGGGGGGGAGGTAAGGAAGGTCACCTTGGGGCGGGGCTTACCGGGACGGGCGAGTGGGGCGGGGCGTTCGGGGCGGGGCTTACGAGCCCGGACCTGTGGGACCCTATCAGGAGGCGGGTCGCGAGAGGGGCGGAGCCTCAGTTGCGCTCGCGCCCCACAGTCTCGTCAGGGCCCCTCCCCGCGCCGGGGCCCAGCCCGCGTTCCCTACCCTGACTCCCGCAGGGCTGATCCGGGATCTCGATGGTGTAGTCCAGCTCAGCCGAGGCCATGGTGAAGCGCGGGCCCTCAGCGCAGGCCTCGCACCAGAACTCGAGCTCGCGCGCCCTCGCCGCAGCCCGGGGCCTCCCGGCACCGCCCAGTCCCCGCCCACCTCCCGCGAAGCGACCCAGTCCCCGCCCACCTCCCGCGAAGCGACCCAGTCCCCGCCCACCTCCCGCGAAGCGACCCAATCCCCGCCCACCTCCCTCGAAGCCACCCAATCCCCGCCCACCTCCCTTGAAGCCACCCAATCCCCGAGTCGCGCTCTCTGACCTCCCGCCCTAGCAACCAGCGAGTCTGTCCGAGTCTCCCGCGGCTCCCGAAGGGCTCAGCCCTAGCAACCAAGCCCCGCCCCGCTTGAGCCTTGGCCGTCACCTATTGGCTGGCTCTCTTCACCCAGACCAGCTATTGGACAGGGGGAACGCCAGTCAGAAAGAGTCCCCACCCTCCCGTGTAGGTAAGAGGGGGCGTGGCTATGTTCTGGGACTGGGGGCCTGGGGCGGGGTCTTCCGTGTAAATTGTGTCTTCTCCCTGGCAGTAGTCTCACATACGTCATCTAGCTGTCTCTTCCGTCCCCGACCGGCTGCAACTCTGAGAGCCGAAGGTAGAAAACGGCACAGAACGGCTTAGGGGGCACTTGCGGGCCTACCCCCTGCCGGGGCAGTTACGGGGAAGTGGTTGAGAGGAGGGGGGTGATGGATGGTGCCTTGCAGGGAAGGCTTCAGAGAATACCGGAGTACATAAGGGGGCTAGGGAGTACAGCTTCCTTCTTTTATCGCACATGCAACAAATATTTACTAAACACCTGCTAAGTGGGTGGCCTCTAGTGAGAATTCAGTTTTTGTTTTTTTGCTTTTTGAGTCACACCCGGTGATGCTCAGGGGTTACTCCTGGCTCATGCACTCAGGAATCACTCCTGGCGGTGCTCGGGGGACCATATGGGATGCTGGGAATCGAACCCGGGTCGGCCGCGTGCAAGGCCAATGCCCTACCCGCTGTGCTATTGCTCCAGCCCCCGAGAATTCAGTTTTAGCCCTAGTATCTGTGCATCTTCAAAGGAGAGGAACCACGCATGAAACAGTCCTGATTCTATGCAAGGGATCAAGGCAGCAGAGGAGTCGACCTGATGATTTAAGGAAGTCAGCCCTTACGGCAGCGGGGATGCTTTTTGATCTGGACTTGGAAAGATTTGTGGAGATACGGAGAGGAAAAAAAAAACTTACAGAAGTTCCACCAGGGATGAGTACCAGGAATTATGAGCACTTTCTTGCCAGAGGAGAGACTAATGTGACAGGTCCACATCCTGGAAACAGGCTACTAAGCTCAGCTTTGAGCTTATCGGTAGATCTTCCTGATAATCAGAAAAATTTCCAGCCCCGAGAGTTAGTAACAGAGGTAAGGCCCTTGCCTTCCTGGTATGCAGCCAGCTCGGGTTTGGATCTGCAGCTCCACATAGAGTTTGACCATAGCCAGAAGTTGTTCCTGAGCACCACTAAATCAATAGCACTGTAGCACTGCCCTTCCCGTTGTTCATCGATTTGCTCGAGCGGGCACCAGTAACTTCTCCATTGTGAGACTTGTTACTGTCTTTTTTTTTTTTTTTTTTTTTTTTGTATATCGAATATGTCACGGGTAGCTTGCCAGGCTTTACAGTGCGGGCGGAATACTCTTGGTAGCTTGCCGGGCTCTCGGAGAGGGGTGGAGGAATTGAACCCGGATCAGCCGCGTGCAAGGCATATGCCCTACACACTATGCTATCTCTCTTGCTAGTCCGAAAGTAGTGAGTGGTCGCAAGATCAACCTAAAGTCAACCTGCAGCAAACTATAATAAATACATAATGTTCTTTAAAAATATTTTCCAAGGGGCTGGAGAGATAGCACAGCGGGTAGGGCGTGTGCCTTGCACGCAGCCAACCCGGGTTCGAGTCCCAGCGTCCCATATGGTCCCCGGAGCATCGCCAGGAGTAACTCCTGAGTGCAGAGCCAGGAGTAACCCCTGTGCATTGCCAGGTGTGACCCAGAAACAAAGAAAAAAATTTTTTTCCAAGGCCGAAGAGAAATACAGTGGATAGGGCATTTCCATGCATGCAGTCAACCTGGGTTTGATCCCTGGCAGTCCATACGATCCCGCCAAGAACTGCCAGGAGTAACCACTGAGCACCACCAGGTGTGGCCTAAACATCAAAATTAAAATTACCAATGCATACTGTGCCTTTGAATGCAAGAACCTAGAATTTACCCTAAGTCATGGGAAGGCCTTTATGCAAAGCAGTAATGATCAGAGTATGTCTTAGATCAGTGATGAGAATTGGGAGAGAAAAACATGAAGATGTAGGAAAGAACAAAAGATTAATTCCTTAGACATGTATGATTTTTAAAAAGTTAACTTATTGGGGCTGGAGCGATAGCACAGCGGGTAGGGCGTTTGCCTTGCACGCAGCCAACCTGGCTGACCCAGGTTCGATTCCCAGCATCCCATATGGTCCCGCGAGCACCGCCAGGAGTAATTCCTGAGTGCATGAGCCAGGAATAAACCCTGAGCATCGCCGGGTATGACCCAAAAAGAAAAAAAAAATTAACTTATTGCCTGGTAGATAGCAATGAAGGAGAAATGAAAGCGAGTTTGGAAATTCCTGACTTGGGCAAACAGACAAAAAGAAGCAGGGTATGTAAGAGATGGTCAATTCTGGGCACAGTGATTTTGAGATTTCACTGGCTCAGCCAAGAGGAGGATGAGGATGCCTGCCTAACTGGAGTTTGCAAGAGAAATAGACTGTGGTCATTTGCGATGCCTTGTGTTGGAGTTGCATATTGGGCCTACCCAAAGACTAGGAGTAGGATCTAGATAAATCCCTGAGAAGAACCCAAGTCTAAGGGACTGCAAGGGGGCGGGGGGTGAACTGCAAAGGTAATTGAAACAAAAGTATTGCAAATGATAAAAAAAGATCGTAAGTCGGGGCTAGAAAATGGCTCATAGGACTGGAGGACATGCTATGCTTTCCAGAACCCCAGGTTCAGGACCCGCACCACGTGCTTCTTAAGCACTGTCAGGATTTTTTTTTTTAATTGAATCCCTGTGAGATCGACCCTTACAAAGCTGTTCATGATTTTTTTTTCTTTTTGGGTCACACCTGGCAATGCACAAAGGTTACTCCTGGCTCCTGTTATTCGTCGATTGCCTCGAGCAGGCCCCAGTAACGTCTCCTTCATCCTAGCCCTGAGATTTTTTAAAAAGTGCCATACTCAAGGCTCTTTCAGAGTTAGGAGAATGAGACCCTTCATTGTTACTGGTATTTGGCATATTGGGTATGCCATGGGGAGTTTGCCAGACTCTGCCGTGTGGGCAGGTTACATTCGGTAGACTGCCAGTTTGTCCAAAGGAGGAATGAGATAATAAGATGTCATAATAAGATGAGCTGGTTTTTATAGTCTCTGAGTCTTGGCCGCTGATGGGATTACACGGCGCCAGGGGGCCAGTTGGTGGGTGTGACCCCCGCCTACTGGAATTTGGAGGATCTGGGTGGAGGATGCTCAGCCCCGATCAGAGCAGGCCTGGAGATCTCAGCCCCGGGACCTGTATGCCTTTGTTCCTCTGCCGGTACCTCCGTGTGTGCGGAGAGAGGTTTCAGCATGGTGGTGGCTGGTTCTGGAGGTCTTCAGCTGCCGGAGCCCTGGTCGGGGAGGAAAACTCAACCCGCTCCCCTCCAAGGGGCCCCGGCGAAGACAGCCAGGCGGGGGCAGGAGACTCCTGGCTCTGCACTCAGGAATTACCCCTGGCGGTGCCTATGGGATGGACCATATGGGATGCTGGGAATCGCACCTGGGTCAGCCGCGTGCAAAGCAAATGCCCTACCCACTGTGCTATTGCTCCAGCCCCAAAGCTGTTCATGATTAGGTTTCAGTCATGCAGTGTTCCAACATTTCTCACCTCTGCCATGTACATTTCTCCCCAATTTCCTTCCCATCACCCCCCATCCCACCCCCAGCCTGCCTCTATGATAGGCACTTCTCTCTCTCCCTCCCTCCCCCTCCCCCCTCCTCTCTCTCTCTCTCTCTCTCTCTCTCTCTCTCTCTCTCCCTCTCTCTCCCCCTCCCTCCCTCCCTCTCCCTTTTTTTCTCTCATTGGTTTGCAATACACATACTGAAAGTTCATCATGTATATCCTTTTACCTACTTTTAACACTCAGTTCTTGTCCAGCATGATCATTCCCAACTATTCCAGTTATTATTGTCATACTGTCTCTTCTCTATCTTACCTACCCTCCGTCCCACACACGCTTGTGGTAGATTAGTACTGTCAAGCACTACCCTAGTAGTTGCCCCTAAGCACTACCGGGTATGGCCCAAAAGTAAAATAATGTATCAGAGAGACAGTAAACAGTAAGGCCAACCCAGGTTCAAATCCTTAGCACCCCAATATGGTCCCCCAAGCCCAGCAAAGACTGACCCTGAGCATGGAGCCAGGAGTAACTCTGCACTGCCAAAACAAAAACAAAAAGCAAAATATGAAAAAAAAAAAAAGAAACAAAAGCTAATCATGATTGTTAGAATATGATACTCAGAGACCAAGGGAGGAAAATGTGAAGGTGAATGACTAACCAAGTAAAATAAGGTATGGAAAAGATACACCGATTTAGAAACAAGGAAATTGGTAATGACCTTGGTAAAGGCTGTTCCCACAGAGAAGTAGAAGCAGAGGTCAAGTTTCAGGAAGCTGAGAAGTGTGTGGAGAGGTGAGGCAGGGAAGCCTGTGTGCACACACAGTGTACTTTCAGGAAGTTTGGCTCTTTGGAAGAAAAAATTTAAAAGGTGCTAACTAGAAGGAGATGGGTATTTAGGAAGCAGACATGCTCTTAGATGAATCCAAGCAAAGATAGCAAAGATAAAATCATAGAGGGGAAAAAATTTTTTAAAAATCATAGAGGGGCTGGAGCAATAGCACAGCGGGGAGGGCATTTGCCTTGCACGTGGCCAACCCAGGTTCGATTCCCAGCATCCCATATGGTCCCCCGAGCACCACCAGGGGTAATTCCTGAGTGCAGAGCCAGGAGTAACCCCTGTGCATCGCCAGGTGTGACCCCCCAAAAAATAGTACAGTGGGAAGGGAGGGAGGGAGGGCCATTTGATTTGCATGTATTGAGTGGTGCCAGTTTCAATCCCTGGCATCCCATATGTGCCCCCAAGCCTGCAAAGAATGGTCCCAGAACGCAGTGCCAGGAGCAAGCACTAACACCACTAGGTGTGGCTGCAAAACAAAAGCAAACAAATCATAGAGAAAACGATGTATAACTGGGAGAATGGTGGTCCTGAAAAAAGCATAAGGTGAGGGACGCAAAGCATGGATGGAGAAACAGCCGTTCCAGGTGGAGAGACAGTCACACATCAACAAACTGTTCGGTGGCAGGAGGCTGAGGAATTTCTGATTTGCTGGCTTCTATTTTCTCTATGAAAGAAGGT